GATTAATGGTTCATCAACACTCACAATTTTCGAGATATGTAAATTCTAAATGTAAATAGTAGTAAATCCAGAAACATAAAGTAATTTGTTTTTCTTGTTTGTAATTAAACAAGATTATGATAAAGGAATTTTAAAATTTTGGATTGTGTTCTAAAATATGACGTTCGAGATAGAGATTTTGTTGTTCTCAGACAATTAAAATATCATCAAATCGTCGTTATCAAAAATTATAAAATTGGAAATGCGAATTTCTTAACTATTTATGCAAAATAATGGATTATTTTCATTATGAATAGAATATTTGCTATTATTTATTATTTTGAATTAGTAAAATTCAATTAGGAGGAAATTTGTTGATAAAGTTGAAAACACCAAAATTAAACTGGATCCCTAAAACTGATTTTCGTTTGCTTCGAAATTTGTAATATTACATTAAATATGATTCCTTAATTATATCTGATTAATTGATAGGAATTAAGAAAAAACAAATACATTTTGATCAATACTTATCAAACTCATTGTAATATTATAATTAACCGATATCATTATAGAGTTTTCCATAAGGTTCAAACTCAATTTAAAATTGTATAAACTTACTTCAATTAAAAGAGTGCTATTTATTAATTAAGAATTGTAGAATTTATTATTTAATATCATTGTATTCAATCCAGTTAATGTTCTTTAGTTTTGATAATTGCTCTCAAAACTAAAGATTGAGGATTTTGTTAAGTTACATTACTGCATTTAGAGATATTAATATGATAATAAAGATTCAATTTAGGATAATTTAAATAATGCCGATTCTATAAAGGTACAATTTTTAATTTATAAATTTGTTATTGTAATTGATCCCAGCATTTAATATGAATGAAAATTAAACAATGAGGAATTGATAAGGGTAGTGTCTATTATAGTAAAATTATTCAAAGTTATATTTCCAAACACTTCTGTCTAAAATAATGAATCAATATTCTAAAGTATACTCTAAGTTATTGTAAAATTCTTAAGTATTAAATCAATTTTTTTATTGCTATTGTAAAAGATAAAATGCTAATCTGCATCAAGTACAAATCCTAAATTGCTAATCTCAACTTAATCATAATTTTTGAAAGGATTAGAAGTAAATGATGTTATTTCTAAATATTATTGTGATGAGAATTTAAAGTTGACTCTTTTTAAACTAAAAACTTTTTATTTTAATTCAGTTTGAATAATGAATGGAAGTATTAGAAAACATTACTAATCTAAGACATTCAATACTAATTCAATAGTCAAGATCTCCATTCCGATTTAATTGCAATAATCTGTATTGATTTTTGACTCATAAAATCTATTAAATCTTGAAAAATCACATGATTAATACGGAAGATCTAAGAAAAAATGATCTTTGCAATCTTTTGTCAAGCAATACCTCACACTTTATAAGTAAGGGTCAAAAGAAAAGGAAGGATCGTTGTATGGTTTAATACATTTGTTGGTATAGTTTTAGCTTTTATCATCAACAATTAAATAAGGAAAGTCGCGCTAATCATTATGTTTTATGTTCTTACTTCAATATCTTTATTTGATCGTTGTAAACACACTTAACATAGAGGATGACATTATAAACACAGTTTGCTTGGCAATGTTATAATATATTTTTTGTAATAATTTAATGGGCATTGTTTACAATAAGTAGTAGTCTAATCACATATAATACAATTGGGGTCACATATTATGGGTTTTGATTAATTTAAAAATTTATTATAAACATATTATTTCAATTTTGGAACAAATTAAAGAATAAAACTTTGGATCTTGTTTGTTTAATTATATATTGAGATTTTCTATGAATCAAATTCTTCATTTTAATAGCATTAGTCATTTTCGATCATGAATTTATCTTAACAAACAACACATTTGATTTAAAGATCTACATTAAGTGAGCATGTTTGACAGTTATCAATATAATCCTAACAATTAGATATCTCTGGTGCAATTTAGAAGTCATCATTCGTTGATGAAACACATTCTTCCTTATTCTATAAATTGATATACGATCTTTGGCAATTTTTAATCTAGGGGATTTAATGTAAGCATAATTCTAAAGTGAAATCAAAAATGAAGTTTTGTTCACAAAGTGCACAACCTGTTCTAACGTTACGTTAGAATTTTAAATTCATATTTAATAAATCTACTAATGAGCAAAATTGTAAATTATCAGTAGAGTATTCAAAACAGTAAATGCAATTTTTGATTTCACAAATTTTACAATAGTTTTCAAATGAATAATAATATGGTGGTAAACAAACTGGTTTTGATCTTGCCTTAATTTCAGTTGAAAATATACATTCACCATCTATTAATTCATAATTACCATAACACTTTACACATATGAAATTAGTAGGAGTAACTTAACAATATTAACAATATTAAAGAAAGCATTCATAACAGATGAATTAATCAGTTTCAGCAAAATCCTTTTGTTAGCAAAATTGTCTAAAATAGTTTTAGGATAATTAAAATTCTTTGAAAATGTTTGTAATATTTTAAATGTCAGTTTCATATCTAAATGAATTAGTATAATGAATAGGATTGAGTTATATTCCATCATAGTAATATTGGACATCGCCAAATTGTAATGAGGCATCATAATAATCAGTATTTAGTTTTATCACTAAAGATTTTTCACAAATTGGATACTTAAACCATGACTTAGGGTTGTTCAGACATTCTACACAACTAAGAAAATCTTTCTTAATCATTGAAGGACTAAATGCTATTTGATTTTATACCATTATATACACTCTCCATCCAACTCAAAAAATCCGTATTTGCAATTCTAATTAACATTAAGATTTTTATCTTCAATCAATCTAAGATTTGAATCTTTGTAGGTTTGGCATTTATTTTGATTATCTATTGTGTTAAATGGACAAACGCAGACTTTATGTTCTGGAATATAGATTCTTTGTGATTCAATCGAACAAGACAAACAATCTTGATTAGTTGGACCATCGCATTCATAACAACTTTAATGACAATTTTAAGTTGTAAGTTCTTTTTAACAATTAAAAAATTGCAAATTTCTCATTTGGGTGTTTAAATAATTAATTTGAGTTTACTAGCAATTGCCAAATTCAATTTTAAATTAACAATTATGAAATTAATCAACCTCAAATTTAACATCATATTAAAATATCTCAGGACCTTCATAAAATGTAATTACCACATTTAACTTATCTTCCTATAATTCAACTTTGAGATGATGCCAAAGCATAATCTTATTTTTGATAAGTAACGTCTTCTTCATTAGGAAAGGATTATCTGAAAAGTCAATAGAAACATCTGGAAAATTATAACTATACGTGGTAATTTCTATTTCATTTTGTAATGGGGTTATATGATAGAGTAGTTAGAAGGGAGATAAATTTTAATTCTGAAATATGGGATTCTATAAATTTGTTGAGACTTTTATTAGCTAATAACTGAGTAGTCCAGATGGATTTATAATTTCTTTAATTTTAATCCATCCTACAAGTATAAATGAATCACAATTGATATTATCTGAAATATAGATATCCTAATCTTATTCTTTAAGGTTCTTATCTCCAATCAAGAATATCTTATTTGACTAGCAAACACATTACTCAAATTATTCGTATGCTTGATTTGCAATATTGATAAAATCAAAATCAATTGCTAAGCTTTAAATTGAAAAGTCTTGCAAAATAATAGTACCTGGAAAATATGAGAATATTTCACCATCTTTTACATCAAGGATCTTTGAATTACGTACTATAAAATTACCTCCAAATGATAATATTAAGTTTTCATCTTTAAAGGGGTATTTCATTTAATTAATTGCTTCAAATTAAACAACCTATCTTTTAATGAATATTAATTTAAATATATCTTATGATGGTTATACTATTAGTTGTAAGTAATACCAAGTGTTTTCATAGTCAAATGAATCAATTTCTAATGTAAATCTATTCTGTTCATCCATATTATTAATAAATAAGATTGTTTTTTGTATTTTCCTTGAAACCGAGTCTAAACAATCATAATAAATTAGATTTAAACTTTACGAATACTAATCAATTGCATTATGCAAATGAAAGCAGTGATTATCGAGTAATCCATACATTCCTATCTAAGCTATTGTACTAAGAGGATTATACTTTGACCACAATCCATAGGACAAACAACTATCAGTATTATACTTATTCTCTGTTAATTAAACTAATTTCCTTTGATATTGATTAGCTGGATTCATTGTAATAATTTCAAAACAGTTCATCATCCTGATATTTAATAATAAAAGACTTATTAGTATCATGTCAGGAGATTATATAAAAGTTTATATAATTTATATATTTTATTTTTGCTGTTGTTCCATCTAAAATTTTTATTAAATGCAATTATTTAAAAATAAATTATTACTTTTGAAGTATATATAATTTATATTAATTATTGAATATCCAACATTCAATGTTATCTCAAAAATCTTTAGAAAAACTATTAAGCTCCTCTTTATCAACTACCTTTTTCATAAATGAAATTAAATAGTAAAAAATTACATTATCATCATATCTGCTTTTCTTTACTTAAGGATAATATAATTATCGTTTCTATTTCGAAATGTGGTTATAAAATATGTTATTAAGGATTATGATGATAGATAAATAGTTTTATAAAGCAAAAATATATAATGTTACATTTTAATTTTTATTAAGTCTTTAAATTCAGTTCTATCCATAAATGGTTGGAATACTTTTTCAAAATTGTAATGCAAAATAAATATTTAGCTATTAAGAGAAATGACATTTACAATACATTTGTATTGACAAATATGTTACCCAATATCTTTTTTAAAAAATCATTTGAGAATACATTAAAGGCATTTTAAGATGAAAAAGAATGATCCTATTATTTAATTTTTTACAAGATGTCATCAAACTTATTGATGAATTAGTGGATCAATGCTTCATTTATTTTCCTTAATAATGATAATTAGATTTTTTAGAATTGATACTAATTTAATAGATAAAGAAAAGTATATTATTCAATCAAAAAAAGTACTTAATTATTTTTAAATTAGAGCGCAATCTTGGTTGTCAATTAAGACTGGTGTTTCTTGTCTGAAAAAATAAAGAAACATAGTTTAATGTTCATATTTTGAGTGAAACTTAAATTATTATTTTAATTCTTACCCAACCTTAAATAGGAATGTTGGCTTCATAGATTCCACTACCTTGGATGCAATTGTTTCTGAATTCTCCAACATACCTGGTGTTGTCGTTGAAAATAAGTTCTCCATTACCATGCATCTTTCCTTTATGCACAGTACCCTTATAGACACATCCATTAGCGAATTCAAATTTGCCTTGTCCATGAATTTTGCCGTCTTAAAATTGTCCCACATAAGTTGTTCCATTTTTTCTTATTTCAGTGCCTTCTCCAATCAATTTATTATTAAGCCAAAATCCCCTCACTTCTTTTCGAGAATTCACAAATTTGCCAATGCCATTAGCCACATTATTGACAAAATTGCCATCGAAACTACACAAATATTAATTATTTATAATACTAATCGCCATTTGGATAAATCATCCTAGCTCTTCCATTTAGTTGATTATCGATCCAAGTCCTTTATAAATTAGAATATAGATTTTACCCTTCTAAAAAATTGCCCTCCTTCTACCAGTGCTATTTTCCTTAGCCATTCCTCTTCCCATTGAGAGTTTGTCCGTAAAATATACTTTGATCCGGCATCAGCATATACTGGCCTTAAAGATTTTGGAATAAATCTCCCAATTCTTGATGCACCTGTTGAACTTTAGGATGAAGCTCCCCCAGACTGCTAATATTCATTCCAATTTGTAAATATTAATCTTAAGAGTCAGATAAATCTAAATCTGTTTGGAGAGTAGTTTGATTGACTAAATAATGTTAAAGCATTGGAGTACTTGAATCAGGTAATTTGATATTGAATTGTTAATGGGGCTAATCTTTACTCGATACACAACCCATTTGTTTAATATTTCAATTTAGATAATTTTAATTGATACTAATATTCGAATACACAAGCATAAATTAACTCTTAACAATCAGAATTGAATATTTATCTTCTGAGTTCAATAAAAATCATTTAATATGCATCGAATAAAATTATCTGTAAATTCTAGTTGACACACTTACAATTTTGATATGATTTACAAAATAAAATAGCGAAAGTTTCTAAAAATGAAAATGTTTATTATATTCATTATTAATATTTATACTTAAAACAGAGACACGCCTGGAACTAAGAGGGTTACAATGCTCAATTGAATTTTACTATATGATTTGGATACTACTTTATTGAGAATGAGGAAATTAATTGAAATAATATATTTAAAATATAATTTCAATGAGTTTATCTAGGAATGGATCCAAGTTTTCAAGACATGATCGCATCGCAAATTCTTAGATAATAGATTTGAAGAAGAGCAAAATGTATCCATCTTCATCCAAGAATTCTGATCAACCCGGGGGGTTTTTTCTGAGTTTAGCAAATATGAAAGCTCCTGATTATGGGTAAGCATAACTCTTAAATAATGATGCCTTGAAGAGCAAAATAAAAGAGAAAAGAAATTAAAAATCAATAGATAATGACACAATGTTGAATAAATTTGTTACTAGAGTTGAGACCAAATTGATTTAATCGCCATTGAAGAAGAAAGTAATGGCCATTGATCCAAAAATTGACATGCCCGCTCAAATCAAACCATACTCACTCACTCCTTAATCTCGATTGCAATCATTTCGTATCGCAAGTCCTTCATCAAAGCCTAGATCACAGAGCCAAAATAAAAGAAACGAAATCTATTACCTAAGCAAACTCTAAAGGGCTTTCGATACCAATGGTTCAGACTACTTCTCTCGCATGTATCGTGAACACTTCCATCAAACTTATTAGGGATTAAATTGTAGATTTTTTCCTCAAAATAACAATGATTATAATCGATCTCACAAATTACCAAAGAAACATTAAAGTATATTACATCATAAACACTCTAAGGATAACTCACTTTGTTCTTTGATTTAGATGAAACATTGGTGCATTGCAATGAAACACCCTCGATTCCCTGCGACGTTGTTTTGGAAATCAATGTCTCTAAACATCAAATTGTGAAGGCAGGAATTAACGTAAGACCATATGCCAAAGAAATGTTAAAAAATCTCTCAAACCATTTTGAAATAATCGTCTTTACAGCTTCCCATAGTTGCTATGCAGAAAAGGTAACCAGAATATTTGATTAGGTTTGCAATCATTTAGACCCCGATTCCACCATTATAAGTCATCGATTATTTCGAGAAAGTTGCACTTAAACTAATACTTCCTTATACACTAAAGACTTGAGAGTATTTTGTGACAATACAAACAGATCGTTAAGTTAGGTCGCTTTGATTGACAATGCCTCATATTCTTATGCTTGGCAATTGGAGAATGGGATACCAATACTTCCTTTCTACGATAATAAAGACGATAGAGAATTGATAGAGTTGGAGAAATACTTGAAAAACATGATTGGCGTATCTGATATAAGAGAATATAATAGAAACAATTTAAAACTGCATTTGTTTGTAGATCAACGTGGACCTTATAAAGTATTGGAGAATCTATTTGGTAAACCACAATAACTTTTATGAGTATTAGAAGATTATCATTAAATTCATTCAATGCTTTTTTCTTAATTTAGCATCAGCTCTTTGTGCTTCCTCCAATTTGGTCTTCATCTTCATAGCTAAATCAAAATTTCCAGTCTTCCATGCAATCAAATCTTCTCTAAAGTTAGAATCCGATGGTAAGGGGTGACTATATTATAATAATTGCAATAAAATACTCTTCATCTTCTAATACATAAGGTTCTGTATTAATATTCCATATTTCCTGATTGTCTATAAACATATTCTTATGCCACACTCCATTAATTTTTGAAATTTCCCTAATAATTTCATTCTGTCTCAACTCTTTGAATTTCAAATACCCATCTCTTTGGAACCTTCTAACGAACTCTTCACTCACCTCATAGATGCAACCCTCATAATAATCATCCAAATGTTCTCTCCTCTTTTTCCAAACTGAACCTGGATAAGGATTCAACTTAATTTCTGCTACTAATCTGTGTTTCAAATTGATAACATGGAATTTACCCACCATCTAAAACAGTTTGTCTCCATACAATGTCCCAGTATAGAGCCCAGAACAAGGCAAGAAAATGAGTTCATTTTTAGATTCATAAAAGTACACTTTTGTATATCCTTAATTGATGCCACTAACTGAATTAGCTGAAATACTTGCAATAGTACATAGACGATGATTCACTCTAATATAATAACTCAATTCCTTACCTATATCCTTTTCCGTAAATCAATAAATTGCTTATTGGTGGATGATGTGACACTTACTCTGCATAAATAGGACAGCCATTGATGAATCCTGAGTAGGTTTCTCCAAGGATAGGATTAAATGGTTTCCACATATTCAAATATAAGATGATTGTACCATATCCATAGGGCAAGAAGTTCTTAAATTGAAATAGATAATCCTTTGACACAGCCTCATCTAAATATTGTAAGTAAGTAAGTGAGTTTGCGTATCTCTGAAGATTACTCTATTTTTCAAAGACATACACGGGTAAACTAATGCTCATGATTGACTTTCCAGATGCTAAGTTTGTTCCTATTTGAGACAGCAAGTACGAGAACACTTTCTTCTGTTCCTTTAATCCAACCTAATCAACATAGAGCAAACCACCTTAATTTTAATCCACTTTCCAATAATTCTTCAATAAGAAATGCCCTTCTGATGTGGATTTCAGGTATTTAGGTTCTACATCAATAGGTTCCAATTGAAATTCATTATTCAAACAGACATCCCAATGTTTATTCTATTATACAAATTCCAATAGATCCATGAGATTGTTTGGTATCTTCTAATCTAATGATTGATCGAATTTTTCAGTAATAAAATCCTCAGAGTGATTAGATAAAGACATAGTAGATTGCTATTGTTATTATTCGAAATGCAGATCTCTAAAATTTATGACATAATCAATATGATCTCCCAAACAATGATACTATTCCATAAAGGCTATATTGGAAGCATCATAGTATGCTCCATCTTCGAGTTGACAAATGATCTAAATAATTGTTTATTGAGGCATCGAATCAGTTGAATAATTTTGGTTTCTTCTCTAAATTCCACTAAAGGAATACTTTTAAATTGATTTTCTGAAAAATTTGGCTATTGAATAGATTGGATTTTCAGAATTGAGTTATTTCTCTATGACACAATCAGATGCCTTGTATCTCATGATATACAATTATGATTGCCTCTGGAATCCATATATTAATTTGACTCTACTCTGATCCACAACCTTGTAATCCTAATAATCAAACATTGTCCATTCATTTACTATGAACTTATTAAATCCAAAACCCTCATACAGGAAATGTTTAACCACTTCAATATCATGTTCTAAAACAACTTGAACTTAGTACAATCCTTTCTTCGATACGCTTTTGTATACATTATTTCCTACTCTATAAAATTCTCCCTACTTAAATTTGTCTACAGTCATATCATTCAAATAGGTTGGAAGATTCGATACTTTAGGGCCTAATTCCCCTGTACTTAACGGAGTGAATGCTTGGAATTATTATTTCTCCTCTTAATTGAAACAAGTAAAAGTCTCTTACTAAGTCTTCTTCAAGGGATCTGGTGATTCAGGCTATTCTGAGATTCTTTGCATGTCCTTATTGGAAGGCTTGGAGAAGAGCCAACTCTCATTGTAATTGTCACTCTTGCTCAAATCCAATTAATCTGATTTATTCAAAGGAGGAGTGGAAACTGTTTGTTTGGAGAATTCAACACTCATCCTTCTGGGTTGGATTGGCTTACTGTCACAGACTCCACTCAACAAATTGAACCATTTCTTAGCGTAGTCTTCTTCATCTGATCCCAAAATCAATTGCTTATAATGATCATATATTGCTTGATTGTGTGCAATTAAAATAAAGCAATAATGCAAACTTTTGCTCTTCTTCTAACCAACCCACATTATTCCATATTTTGATAATGACATTTCTATATTGCCTTCTTTTCTAGGCACAATCAGCTTTTTATGAGTTAAATTCAATTCTAACTTCTTTGTTCTCCAAATCCCAAGAGTCTCTCCTTTTACATGTAATTCTCCCAAAATCTTTGAATCATCTTCCAATTCTAAGCTCTTAAACACCTAACAGAACATATTCTTTTGAGCCTCTACTGGTAAATGAAACAATCCCTAAATTTCATCCACTTCCAGGTCAGGATAATTTTCAGGATTTATTTCGATTTCGTTGTTGGCATAATTCTTAATAGAAAATATCAAAAAGTTTAATCCCAAACCCTTGAGCTTCAGGCACATTTGACCCCAATGTCAGATACTTCTAATAATATTCTTCGAACATATATTCAGAATGGAGATAAATTATATTATTAAATTTTTACACAATAATTATACAAACATTACAATTGGTGACAAGTGTGAAATTATTCTGCTTAGATAATATTACTAAATAAAATTTAATTTAATTCTTGGTTGATATTCATTTCTCTTCAAATTTACAAAAATAAATAAAATATTATCTTTCAACTAAAGATTTTACACTTTCTTTATTAATACAATCGTTATGTATGATTTGACAGTAAGTAAATTACAAATAATACTAATTTGAAGACAAAAAGTGATAGATCATATTATTAAAAACTTGATTGAAGAGAATATAGATTGTAAAGTAAAAGGAGATATGTAGTACTACAGGAATGCCATGGGAATTTAGGGTATCTTATGATGTTAGTGTATGGATCACAAATTACAAAAAATATATTAATACTATAAATAGGTTTAAAATTATACTTTTCCATTAAATCCTACTTTCATAATATAGCTAATATTAATGGATATTTTGGAATATTCATATAAGGGGAACCCTGTGTTGATGTATATAAATATCTCTCATCTTTAATATCTGAATTATATGAAAGTTCATTCAAATACAGAATTCATTAAATGATTATTTAATGTTATATTTTTATTTATACTAATTATAATTTATTATAATGTATTATAAAATAATTATGTAGTATAAATTAAAAAATCAATCATTATTTGAAAAAGCATTGTAAATTTGATGAGTCATAAGAAATTTTGATCCATTCTCTTTTTCTTTAATCAAATGTATCACTTAAAAAAAACTGATAGGAAGAAATGTTTTTTATTGTTTCGGTTTGTTTGCTTATTTTGTCAAATAAAAACAAAATATTATTTTAAGCAGATAAAAACAAAACCAAAATTTACTGATCACTTCTATTTGAAAACGAATGAATAAAATTGATTCTAAGGAGTGATCAATTCCGTATTTGAAGATGTCTTTCTTTAAAATTTAATAATATTTGATTTGTTAATAATTTCCCACTTTGATTTGCAAATTAAGAGAGAAACACACGTGCACTATTAAAAGAGAAAAGACGTTTATTTGTAGGGCAGATAGGATTGAGTGGTATTATTTGATAATTCGATCATTTCTTGGTATATAAATAAAGGGTTTGTTCTTCGGTTTTAAAGTAGAAATTAATACGGTCGATGGGATGTGTGATGTGTTTGTCATCGCTGAGATTTCTCGCTTGCATTTAATATAATATTAATAATGGTTATTTTGGATTGGATTGATTTTTGCAGGTGGTCTTTGGATGTGTGTGAATATGAGATTTGGGAGGAACATTTTGTGAGATTTGATTAATAGATTTGAAAAAATTTAAACGATTTATTTATTAAGCAATTCTTATTATGCAGCACAATTCGTTATTGTGATCAAAAATACAATTATTTTTTATTCAAAAAAATGGCAGAAGAATGGATTACTAAATAGATTGATAAATACATTATTGTGAATTAGAAGCTGGGAAGTGGGGCATTTGGAACAGTGTATAGGGGATTTAAAAAAAATGATGAAACGAAGCAGGTTGCTGTAAAGGCAATATCGATTGCTGTAAGAAAATAAGAATAATGATTTTAGAGTATCAAAGACTCAGCCAAGATGGTAGAACACATTAAAAGAGAGATATCTATTTTGTAATAGGCCAATAATCCTCATATCGTTAAATTGTACGACGTGGCCAGAACACCACACTATTTGTATCTATTTTTGGAGTATTGTCACGACGGGGATTTGAAGAAATACTTATCAACAAAATATGGCAGGAGATTAAGTGAAGTAAAACTATTTTATATATATTTTAATTTCTCAGGTTGAGGCAGTCATCTTTTTGAAACATTTAGTTGAAGGATTCCGAACACTCCATTAACTCAAAATAATACACAGAGATATCAAACCCGCTAATATATTGCTGCATAAAGGTGTTGCTAAAATTACTGATTTTGGATTCGCTCGAGTGATTGACACTGGAATGAATGGTAAAATAAGTAGTTAAATCAAATAGATCCTGCCTATTTTTCAAGAGTGGGATCTCCCTTATATATGGCACCTTAAATCTTGGAGGGGTAACCGTTTTCTTCCAAATGCGATGTCTGGTCAATGGGAGTGATGCTATATGAAATGCTTTACGGAAAACCTCCTTGGGACGGAGACAATCAATACAATTTGTTACAGAATATCAAGAAAACCGCCTTACTTATTCCAGAAGCTCCAGTCAGGAGTGATAAAATTAAGCAATTGCTAAAACATATGTTGGTCGTTCAAGAGAAAGTAAGGATATGTGGCTTAACTATTTTTAGGATAGGTATTCCTGGGAATAAATCTTCAATCACGAAATCATACAGATTTAGGAAGCTTAGATAAAGAATAATTTGGAGTAGTTGATGAAGGAGAAGGACGAGTTATCGCGTTCTGAGAGTCTCAATAAATTGTACTTGGAAATGAATCTGGTGGTGGGTTATTTAGATCAACCTGAATAGATTCTTTAAGAACCATCAACTCCTCAATTAACACAAGGGAATGAGGAAAAACAATCTGTTGATGATATCAATCACGAGAAAGTATCACATTTATTTATTGCTTTATAGGGGTTAAAAATTATTAATTAATATGAGACTGAATAAAAACGTAGAAAAGCGATGTTAAAATATAACACTTACTTTTTGTTTGAAAGAAATATTGCTTTCTTCTTCAATTATGTGATCTAAAAAATCATCAAGATGTCACATTAAGGAATACTTAAATTGACTCAAGAATTATACTATTCAACAATTTTTTGTATCTCCAAAAATCAAAATGTCCACCTCAAAAGAATGTATGACTAATTAATGTCCACCAATCCTGATAAATTTGATAGGGATACCTGGGGTAGGTACTTAATCAGTCAAGAATATAAGAAAATATTAACTGTCACCAAAAATGACATTAAACATACAGAGGATTTCTATTTGGAAATTTATAAGAAGGAAAAGCAAATCATTGACAAAGAACTTACTTAACCTGATAATAAAAGAGCATCCAAAATTAAGTAAGTCTTGGATGTTAACTTTGATCAAAATACTTTCTTCTAATAACTTTATCAATCAGTCGTGCAAGAAAGCTTAGACGTCATTAAATCTTCTATTAAATAAACTAAAGACTCTGATCCTGTATATAAAGATTTACTCTAATTGGGATGGTTTCTTGTGATCTGTTTGAATCCGTACTTAGAATTTAAAGACATTAATATGGATTTTAATTAATTTTATGAAGAAATGCAAACACTCACAGAAGCATAATTTTTAGAAAAAATTGGTAAACGTCTTGATCTATGAATTTTTATATTTAAATTAATTCTATGAACTTTTATTCCTTTCATTGTATAGAAATATTACTCTAATTTAATCTTGATTTTGATTTACAGAAGTAAGAATTGTTAAGTATTTCGACTGGAGATAATATTTTAAAATTTTCTTTAACGAGTGAAATTTTTTTGATATTTTACCTCTTGACTTATTAATATTTTACTTAAATATGTTCTGTACTTTAATTCTTTTGTAAGTACATATTTCGATTTTCCTAATTTTTATTAAATGTTATTAAATGGCTTGCAACTTCAATTGATATTTCAAAGAGTTATTACACTATATCAATAATTCAGGAAATCTAATTGTGTCATCTTTTTTAAATAAGTAAAAAATATTAGTAATTATAATTATTTTAATTATAATTAATCATTTATTCTCTTTTTTAAAATGGGGGTCATTTTAAAGAATACCAGAAATTTAGTTAACCATTTAATGATTACAATCTTAAGAATGGTTTGAGTATTTTCTGAATTCGGTTACTAACTTACTTTGCATTTATTAGAACTTTTAACTGTTTAAACTTGGTAAAGCTAATTGGTCATCGTTTTGCTTAGATTGCTGTCCTTGTGCTGTTTGTTAAGCACTTTTGAAATTCAATCTAAAGACGTCAGATAAACTTTCAGGAATATTCTCATCCAATTACAATTCTTCAATATATCCTGTTTCTACTCTGAATAACCATCCATGCACCATAACAGCTAATAATTTGTAAAAATAAGATACGATGTCCGACTTCCCAAGATTTCTATACAATTGGATTTTTCCACATATTGAGTACTTATTCTCTGACATTTAAGCTTGACAAACAAGCCACTCTATCATTTTCATTTTCAAATTAATTCACAAGATGTTGATTCTTCTCATAAACATGTTTGATATTATTGAGCCAAAGATCTAATAATCCACCTACAGAGTCTTATTGCATGGCTGCCTTAACTCCTCCACAGTATGTATGACCCATAATAATGATATTATGGACCTTCAGATGTTCCACAGCATACTAGATGACACAATTTAACTAAAGTTGACTCAGAAATGATTACGTTTAAGTCGGTCATGTTGACAACATTGGCTATGTTACGATGGATGAAGATTTCACCTGGGTCGGTCTCTGTCAATTCATTTGGAGGAGCTCTAGAATCAGAACATCCGATTAACAGATATTTTGGATTCTGGCCTTTGGCTAACTTGGTGAAATAGTCTGGATCTTGGGCTAGCTTCTTTTAGACATAATTTTTATTTCCCAAAAGAGCCTTTGCATATTTCTGGATTTCTGATATTCCTTTTTAAACGAACTTATTTTGCATAAGAATAAATATTTTTTGGATATTATGATTTAATTTATAAAATTCATACGTTAAATCAGGCCTAATTAATTCTTACTTTTGATATATATTAAAGTGCAACTGATTAATAGTAATTGCTTTTTAATTTAATATTTTATATAACCTATAAAAGTGGAATATCTCGAAATGCCTATCCCATTTGACTGGAGTGAGTGAAATGCACATGAAAATGATAAAATGATGGCAAGTAATGGACGAAAACTTTCACAAATTTTGACTCCAATTAGTATTTTTCTGAAATTATTTTTAAGCCTTCAGTATACATTTCTTCCAACATTGCAACGTGATCTTAATTTAAATCCCTCAATGATTTTATATCTCTTTAAAAGGGAAGTGCCAACAAATGCAAATCATCTAAGCTTTGAGAATTCACAAACACATAATCTTTAAGAATTAAAAATGTTTGATTTTCAAATACAATATTTTCCACCTCCTTCTTCTTTTCCAATATATTATAGACCCAATCCAAGGGCATTTAAATAATTTATGATTATTTGTACATATCATAGGTTTCTTCAATGATAACTGAATCAGATTTTGAATATTTGTCAATATGAACCTAATTTGCAGGGCAGATCAATTCACAATCAATATCACTCAACATCTGACAATTATATTTTGTATAAATATCATTGTGGAAATATTGGACAGCTTAATCAAATGCAAGTTGTTGAACTTCCTTTTCAAAGGGTTTCTTCTGCAATATGAGAATGCCGCATTAATCATTCAAACTGCCCAATAATATTAGTCTCTTTGTATTATCGTCCCAATTAATCACTTGGGAAGGTCTAAATTGTTGAAGTAAATCGCTGTTCATTTAATTATATATATTTAATAATATTTGCCATATTCTTTTAATAAAACAACTAAATTTCATAAGTGCTGTAATAATCACAGATTCCGATGAATGAAAACGATAAGAAGTTATCTCTACCTCCTCTTCGCATGTCTGAGCTTCAAGACCTACTTCGATAATCAAGTGAATAGCATAAAAAGGAAGTCATATATAGCTACAGAGACACGAAGAAGAAAAGACAAAAAGAAATTGCTGATTTAGACAAATACAAGACTATTGAAAGAAAAGGTTCTATTTCTATCAAGTTTAGCGTTCAATTCCCAAAATAAATTGTAAGGGAGACCATTTGGAAAGAATTTGGATATCTTTTTATGCAAGGAACCTTTGATTGATGATTTCCTAAAACGTCATATTATTGCTCCTCAAAGAAATCTCGAAAAGGGTCTTAAAGATAGTAATTTAGATACTATTGTTTAGTAAAGACTGGAAGGAATTAGTTTTTGGACGGGAAGTGCTTTGGAGAGGTGCCTGAAAGCAAATTGAGTCAAAAGGAAAAGCAATTCAAAGAGTATTGGAAGGAATACAATAAACAACTTTCGGAATAAAGATACAAAATGTTATTAGATTCTTAAACTGGTCTGTAGAAGAAAATCAATTAATAAAAAAGACTAAAAGCTTTGAAAATATTTGTGCCCAATAAGTATTCACCTGGATATTTTGATGATCATCCATCTTAAATTTTGAGTTTTACGTATTTATTACATTTATGCTTAGTGAAATGCACAAACATTCATAGCCATAAATTTGGAGTCCAAATAGTTTCTATGGTGATTCATTCGAAGAAAATCTAAAGTAATTCTAATCAAAAAGTAATTTCAAACTCAGTAACACTGTCTTAAAAGATCAAAGTAAATCCTCCATAAAAGTTGATTGAATTAAATAAGATAATTGTTATTTTCAATATGATTACTGATATTAAATGTGTCCCAGTATATGAGCATCTTCAAAGTATACTTACACAACGATTGCATAAATACAATATATTTATTTTCCATTTAACCATTATATAGTTTAATAGAATGATAACAGAAGTTTAAATAATTATGTTTGGCTACTTCATTAAGAGAAATGCTGGATAAGTATTAACTTTGGGAGTATAGCTCAGTTGGGAGAGCGTAAGACTGAAGATCTTAATGTCATGGGTTCGATCCCCATTGTTCCCATTTTTATTTTTATTCAAATAGCAATTTAATTAGTTTCTATTATATTTTATTTATTTAAACAACACTATAAATTGTTATATAACTAAGAAGTACTAGTATTCTTGTAACCATTAAAATAAGACACAGAAATTTGATATTAAATGGAGTTTATTATGAATATATACAATAATAAATGAACATTCTTGATGTGCAATTATTATTCATCTCCCTCTTCTGCCTTCTGCTTCTTTTTCATAATATTCCTCTTCCTATCCAGCTTAGGATCTAAATAATCATAAAAGGAATGATCATACTTCATCCAATTGATCATTGGTTCACTCAATTGTCTGTCTGTAATGATTATCGATTTCTTCATTAAATAGGAAATCCTCCATTGCTCCATTTTTCCACTCCTCAGAATTATCAAACCAATAAAGCAAACATTGTTCATCGACATAAGAGTAATCATAGAATCCTTTTAAGACTGCTTCGAAATATTTATCATCAATTTTTGGTTTCTTTATCAAGCATTGAATGTTCAAGATCATATGACATTATGCCAATTAATGATCTAGATCATTGAAGTAGGTAGTGTAGTCAGCAACTCATAATTGCTTTCAAAAAGCTTTGGTTGGATTTTCATCGAACATGCTGTAAAGAGCAAACTCTATTTTTGAGAAGCTTATCCAGATTGAACATCTTGATATCTTGAGTCTAAATCACATCAGCAACATCATTGTCTAGTTTCTAATTGACAACTAATTGATTATAAGTGTCTCACAATTGAACTAAAAAGGTTTCGAGCAATTCAGAATCCAATATTACTTCTGCAGCCACTATTTTCTTCTTTTTCTATTTGTCCTCTTTATTTTCACTCTTGATCATCTAAACCTCATCTTAGCCATTCTTAATTGATTAATTTCCACCGGGAGGATTCTTCTAAATATAACTCCCCAATCAATGTGTATTATCCAAATCGCTAACATTTCAACAAGAGTCACATTGCCCATAAATAATCTTGCCACCTTTTATTTTCATATGTATCTTTGGATATCTACATTGTTAAGAGAGAATGTATTTCTCAATAAATTTGTCCAATTATATCTTAAAATACTTCATTTATAATACAAGTCACATCGTTGTCATTTTTAAATTATAAGAAGTTTAGGAACCAAACTTGAAACCAAAATATTTCAAGGGCTCGAAGTTAAATAAATGTCTAAACATTCATCATGAAAATTTAAAGCTTTTGCAATCTCATGTAAATTAATTATGTTTGTCTTTATACCATTCCCTCTACCTTCAATCTTAAGTTGTGATTTTGGCATCTTTTATCTGTAGTTTGAGTCTTCAATATAAGAAGGTATGTTCACATAGACAGTCTTAACATTAATTAAAATGTTTATAATTATTATTTCTGTTCCAAGTCATTCTTAAATAATATAAATACTCATATAATAAAGTCTTCATAAGTCGGCTCCTAACCACCCAATTTCCTAACTAATTTACTCCACTTTACTATAAATATCCATATTACATAATACCTTCATTCTTCTTAATGAAAGGATCAGATAACAAGGCTTCAACACTGAAATTTAGATGCTAATCCAATTCATATATCTCACAGACAGCCACTTAGTTTAATTAATTTGGTATTAGTGAAGATAGATTGTGTAGTAGTATATCATTTGAATCTCTGAAAGATTCTATAAAATCATCATGTAATTATAGATTCGTCTTTGATATTGTGACTTACAGCGATTTTAAGTACTTTGCCATTAAGATTAGCTCTTATTATATTGGTTCTGCATCTGTATCTGCGATGTAATGATAATAATTTACTTTTCGCTAAAGAGTATTTTAATTTCCTCTTTTCTTTTTCTTTAGCAAATTGTTTCAAATACTAAATACTTTTTTTTTTATTTCTCTTTGAATACATAGCCAATTAAAAGGTTTACTTTGCATTCCCCTTTTATAATAGACAGCAGTCATTAAATTTTTCCCTCAACATATTTTAAGAGACTTTGCTGATTAATGAAAAAAAGTTAACTGCTTCTAATTTCAATATATTTAATTCAAGAATATTTCTTGTAAGTTGATCAGTCAAGACTAGATATATTGTGTTATAATCTTACTGAATTGGCCATAATTGTTAAGTATTGCTATACCGATATTATTTTAATTGCTTTATTGTACATAATTTAAAAAGTTATCAGTATTAGAATTGGTCTCTCTTTTTTCTTACAATATATTTAATAAAATAGCATCAATTTCATTTAGAATCCCAACCCTCTATTCATCATCAGTGATTGATTCTTTTATTTATTTTGTTAAGTCCATCAATGCATTAATTTCTATTTCATTCATTAAACTATGCTATTATAAATGCTATTTTATGATGTCTAATTCTAGAGTGCCTTTTCTTAGTTCTAATAACAAGTTTAGTGTGCTTATAAACATTTAATTCTTTTTAAATAATACTAAATTATCATCATATAAGGAATTTATTTGCTGACACTGAAAATGCTTAAGAAATAATTAACTATTATTATTAATAAATATATATTTTTTCATTATCAATTAATGTTATTATCATCTTATTCCCATATGTTTAAAATCAATACACTCTAAAATCTACTTCCATTACCTACTTTAATGGTCTTACATATTAAATGTCATTAAATTATGAATAAGACCAATTCAAAAGACAGTAAAATTCAAAATCCAGAGCCCTTGCAAAACCCTTTATTTTAAATTAATTATAAATGAAAATAGTGTTAATAAGGATAATGAATCTATTCTTATTATTTTAGGTTCATCTCCTTTGATAGAACCAATTAAATGATTAAAATAATTTTCTAAAAAACCCTGATCTAATTCAAAGACTCTTTGAACTGTATTTCCAACTGTTTTGTTTCATAATTGATAAGAAACGATATTATTTTCAATATCTATAATATAGGTAAATTTTATTAAGATTATTAAACTGTTTAATATTCAAAAATCCTGATTATTGATATAAATTAACACTTAGAACAAAAAGAATCGTGAAGTTATGAATTTAAGATTAAATAATGTCTTTTTATTGGATTTAAATGGTGAAGGATAGAAAAATTGTGTATGATTTGGAAATGTTCTCATCTTGGCATAATTGAATAATTAGTCATGTTATGAAATTTTATTAGCTTTAATTAATAATATATTTATTTTAAAAATTCATTTCTATAAGTAGTTTCATGAATTTGTTGATCCTTGTATGCTTGATTTAGGAGAATAAAATTACATTTATGAAATGAAGCATCCGCTTTCTTGTATCAATAATTCAGCTTTCGAATAGTTCTTATCGCAGATATTGAGGATAACAGCAACATCTTCGTCATTAGCCTAAGGAAAATTTAGTCTTAACATTTCATAGAGTTTCAAAACTAAATTAATGATAAGAGGTACTTACATTAATCCTCATTCTTTTCATAAACTTTAATTAATCTTACTTTGACACTGGATTATGGGAAATCAAGTAATTATCTGGTTTTACTAATTTAAACTTGTTTAATATATTGAAATGCTTTTTTTGCAGGCTATCGCTTACTTTTTTACTTTCTTTTCTTCTATTGTCTGTATATGGGTTTCTGGGGTTTTTAAATAATTCGTTTTGGTATTGGAGGCGGGGATGAACTTTCACAATCGTAAAGCTTCCCTTAAGATTCGAGATAATCTAGATCCAGCATTCTCACTATCTGTTTTTGAGTTTACAAACTCTGAATTGGTTGTGAAGAAGATTGTTGTTGCACTTCCTTTTTGGGCATGCTCTCTTCATCATCTGAAATGGTGATATAAGTTTATTGTTAAACAGGTAATGGTGCTTAATGGAACACAGTTGGTCTAAATTGCTGGATTTAGTTATGATATGGGAAGTAAAAGTGATTGTACATCGTGGGGTATTAAAAATGTTGATAAGGATAGGGGGGATACGGGGGTTTATAGAAATGAGAATTTGAGTACATCAGAAATGGTAATGTGATTTTGGTTTATTAATTTATTTTAATCTGAAAGAAATGCAGGTAATTTGTTTAAAAATCTTATTTTAAAAACAAAATGAAATTGATTAATTTAATATCAATCATTGACAAGATTCATACTTTTCACCATCAGGCAATTCTACAGAATTAGAACTAGATCCTAGTTCCTTGAAGGTTATCTAAATTTCCATTTATTTAAACACAATTTAAATTAAATAAAGATCTAGTATATATAATCAATAAAATATTACTATTACAGCAAAATAACTAATCCAACAGAACTTGGTGGTTAATGTAATGAAATTCAAAAACCAAACATCCAACCACTGATATTCTTCTGCAAATTACAATTGATAAAACCCACAAACCGAAAAAATATTACAACCCTCTATAAGAAAATATTTAATTGTATTAAAATATAAAAATATTTAATTATAATACTATCTGTGATTACCTTCAAGTAATACCAGCATAAATTGCTGACAGAATAAAGTTTCTAAAATGCTAACAACTTGTTTCTAGACACTTGATATAGCGGGAGACTATTATTTCATAGAAGAACCCTTTTTGTAGTTTTATGATTTTTCTTTATATCATTTTTTCTTATAATGATCATTTTAAATATCATCAATTGAAGAAGACAATAAAATATATACAATCAAACAACTCTCTTTTAGAAAGAATTATTAAATTATATTATTGTTAAAATTTAATAAATATATTACAATCAAACTTAGGGCAATTCAGATTAGCTTTTCTTTTTTAACTCTTGAGAATTACACATTTTGATATCTAGGAGGCTCATTTGTTCATGATCTTCGACAGATACAGACATTTGATTTTCAGAGAATAAAGGATTCTCAGACAGCATTGGATTTTCACCAATAAGTGGATTTGCCAATTCGTCATCGTCTATGTTTGGATTGCTATTTAATTAAATTTCTGGGATATAGAAGGGAGCATAAATTTATTATAGAAGAATTCTAGGAGAACGATTTTATTTAGTAATTAGAGCTTAGAGATGATCTATTTCTATTTTACTAAAATGTATATCTAATTGACTTAGTATGTCAAGGTAAATCTATTGATTAAATTATTGTTACTTCAATTTTCATGAATCCATTAGTAAATGTTTCAGGATACTTCTTCATCAAAACCTCTTAAATTTCCTATTTTTTGTTCATAATAGTGAAATTGATGGTATCCAATTGTTGATGACTTAAAATGATGTAATTTTCCATCAATGTTTTAAATATACTTCTAACTCTACTACTTGTAGTACTCTCATTTTCATCTTCAATATCAGCTAAGTAGGCTGCTAACATGTGAATTTCATTCGAATCTTCCAAACCAAATATACTTTAATGTAAATTTTCCTCTAATTAATTGAAGGTCAAATTGTCACTTGTCAAAAGGTACTTTTCCACATCATTGAGTGACATTTTGAGGCCAATCAATCTTAGACGTACTTTCTTAGCAATAGGCAAAACATCATTTTTATCTACTAAGATATTCTTTTTAATTTGAATTTCATTTTCATTATTCTTTTATTCCTATTCATCAAAAAATTAAGGATTTTTCAATACAACTGTTCTTCTCAAGAACCGTTGTTATTGTTATTGTTGCATCTATTAGTACTATTACTTTTCTTGTTCAATTTGCAATTCTAAACTAGAGACTTACTTTTAAAGTTCCTTATTTTTTTTTTCTAAGTAGGCGATCTTTTCTTGATCTTCCACTAATAAACTGTTGTATTTATTCTCCCAATTTTTAACTTTCTATTGATAATTCCTTATGTCAATTTTGGCTTGTTCCAATTCAATCAAAACTTTCTCATCGACCTTCTAAATGTCTCTTTGTGAAGGTTTGCTGTCGTAGGAGATGTTTTTTCTTCTGAGAATATCGATTTCCAATAGCAATTGCTGGTTCAAACCTCTGAGTTTCTGACATTACATATTTTGTGCATTCAATTTGATGGTCAGTTTATTATTCATTTTCTAAGGTTGCTAGATCAATGCTTACTTAAAGTTCATCATTTTTGATTTCGAATTATTCCAATATCTTGGTGAGATGTACATTGTCATCAGACAATTGCATGCAATAAATATCGATGTTCTATTATTCAACAGGGTTCTTGAGTTGTTTCAAATAGTTTTGAGTCTGACCTAATTCCTATTTCAACTTTTAGTTCTCTTCCTAAATAGACTCTCCAATAAATACCTGAATTGAAGCCAATCTCTCTAAATAACTCTATTTCAATCTTGTATAATTATATGTTGGACTTGCCTCGTCTCGCTAAAACTAAGTTACCTCCTTCTTGAAGTATTACAATTAGGATTGTTATTTGCGCAGACTTAGAATGAGATTATTCTTTTCCTGTTTAAGTTACTAAATTTCTTCAAACATGGTTTCCTTATCCTTGAGATAGATGGACTTTAATCGCTAATCTTCAAGAGTCAAGTTGCGTTTGAATATTGTTCCGAAATGCTTCGGACTATTAATAGATAGAGTCTTTTGAGTAGCTGAGTTTTGAATCATTTAATATGAAAATTGAATTAATATAACTCTTTAAAGAAACCAACACTTTCTACAATGTCATACACATTCTGTTTGTTGCAATTCTAAAATTATCACATCGAGCCAATTTAGAGAGGACTTTCCTCAGTTCAACCTTTGAAAGGAATACCCATAATTAAAGATAATTTAATAATTTATGAGTTCAGAATATCCCATAATTACATGGAAGGAATTGATCAAGCACTTTAAACGGTCTTCCTTATGGGTAGTGGTTGAAGGGATGGTCTATGATGTCACTACATATTTGGATAAGCACCCAGGAGGAGAGGAAATTCTGAGGAAATGTGGAGCCAAGGATGCCACTGAGTAATTCTTAGAATATAATCATTCCAATTATGCTCGATCCATCCTCGCTTCCAGGATTGTTGGACAATTAACAGACGAACCACCACCTCACAATTACGCTCAGTTACTTAAACAGAGGAAATAGAGAGTAATAGTAAATTCAAATACAGGTTAAAAACCCATACTAAGCAGTTACTTGGGAGGAATTAGCACTCCATAACACATCCGATGATGCTTGGATAGTGATTGATGATGACGTGTATGATGTTACTGACTTCTTGGCTTAGCATCCTGGAGGAATGAAGTTGCTATTGGATAAAGCAGGAGATGATGCATCCACTCACTTTCACAGAATCAACCATTCTTAATAAGCCCATTAGATAATGAGTGAGTTGTAGGTTGGTGTGATCATTGGTACACTTTATAATCATATATTTTCAAGGAATCAAACCTAAGAAAAAGTAGAAACAAGCACCAACTAATTATGTCTTAATAATGTTTATCATAGTTGTATTGTTTATATTTATTTATTTATTTTTATTCTGATCATATATATAACTGTTGTAGATTCATTAAAAGTTATAACATTTTTTTAAATATTTTGATAAGATATCATTTTTCAAAGAGCAAGTCTAAGAAGAAGGTACTGATTATTAGCCATAGGAGCTATTTTTTATAGTGTTTATTAGTATCTGAGAGGTTTTTCTTTTTTAATCGTTTCCACATGTGCATTCAAAAAGTAATATATTTAGATTGAGTCCAGTAAAGATAACGTAGATTACTAAATTGAAATGAATTTTAGCAATTCTATTACTTTTAGGATGTAATTGTGGAATGGAAATAGGATTGATGCACTTTTTTATTTGAGTATAGGAAATTATTATATAATTAGATATTTATGGGTTGTGCAGGGAATGAGTGTGTGAATTAGTTTTGATTATATTAAAATTTAAAATATTGAATTCTGATGAGTAGATAAGGGAATTCACAAGATTATGATTGGCTAGTTAAGGTTATTGTGATTGGTGATTCTGGAGTGGGTAAGACGAATGTATTGTCGTAATTTTGCGATTAGAAGTTTTCGATTACTCATATGGCCACTTTAGGTGTAGATTTTAAGATCAAAACAATTGAAGCAGAGGGGAAGAAGTTGAAATTGCAAATTTGGGACACGGCAGGTTAGGAGCGATTCAGAACTATAACAAAAACTTATTACAAGGGGGCTCAAGGAGTAGAAATAATTATTAAGTGTAGGTGATCTTGACATATAGTGTGATTGATAGACAATCGTTTTAGAATGTGGACGGATGGTTAAAGGTAAGAAAAAGTCGATTATGAAAAGTCAATACAAGAGAATACGAATTCGAGTGATGTGCAATTGGTGTTGTTGGGTAACAAGGCTGACATGTCTGCAGAGAGAAAGGTGACTCTGGAGGAGGGCATGAAGTTGTCACAGCAATTCAATATCCCATTCTTCGAGACTTCGGCCAAGAGCAATATGAATATCAATGAAGCCTTCCAAGAGTTGTCGCAGAGGATCATCCAGACTCTGTCGAAGATGCAAGCTAATGACGAGAATCGCAACCTCAATATAAAGCCCAATGGAGGAGAGGATAAACACAAAACTGGAGTATTATATTTAGATTTGATTAATAGCCCTGTTGCTGATATTATAAATTTATTCGACAAGATTTTACATTTATTTTTGTAGGACTTTCCGCTATGTTATTTTTTAATTTCAAAGTCCTCTAATTTACATTCTTCATTAATTAATATGCAAGATAAATCGAATACAAATTCAAGTGTCCAAGAATCGTATTCTCCAAAGAAGCTCGCAGAGGGAGGAGAGAAAAAGAAGAGATCCAGAACTCGTAAGTACAGCGATGCTCAACGCGAACACAAGTGCGAGTGCGGGAAGTCATACTTGAGTTATCCTGCCCTCTACACCCACATGAAATAGAAACACAATGGGGTTTTCAAATTACCTAATAGTGTAGTAATCTTTGAAGAACCTGGATGAACAAAGGTTGGAATCAACGTTTTCAGAGTCACAAACATAGGACATTTTTGCCACTCTTGCCAATGCCTTAGGTAAGGAGGAAGATAAACCGCAGGCTTCCTTGAATAATATGGATATATACGACCTTATTAATTGGGAAGTGTTGCTCTTAATAATGGAGACCGACAACAAGGACATCAGATTGGATTACTATCATGAACTAATGAAATCGCCCCAACCTACTGATGTAACTACTCCTCAAGATGCTTTTATTAAGTTTATCCACGAAGTCAAAGGAGTCCTTAGTTTTGAATAGATGAAACTTATCTTTCTCTTTGTGTACTCCTTTCGAAAACTTCTACTCGACTATCCAGAATGTCCGACTAGTGGACTGGTTGAAAAGGCCAACTTATTAATATGTTTTCAATTGGATAAGGTACTCTCAAGCATCCAAAAACTATCAAATCGAAATTACATTGTACATCTAAGCAGAGTACCCAATCTGAGAGAAACTATGATCCAAATAGTACTTGGATTTTGTAATTGGCTATATGCTCGTCATTTGACTGATGACAAATTACTCCTGAAGAGCGATTCTGATTGATTTTTTTATATCAAAAATAGAAATCATTCTTTTTAGAAGCAAATCCTTCTCTTATCCTCTGATGTGTTTTTCTTACTCTCCACACAAATGACATTTCGAAATGAGTAAACCAATTTTATTATATATAATATAGATAGATCATTAATGCGATAACACTGGAGCTGCAGATTCCTCTTCAGGGTCATCTAACGGTGTATGCCACCTGACATGAACTCCCTTTAATTTGCCCTATTAATCCATAACAATTAAAATAATACATCAAATTTATCAAACGAGTCAAACTTTACAAGCGACAACTTGAAATTCCTCGGAACCACATGTCTCGATACATTTGAAAACTCCTACACACCCTTCTCACTTTTGATATAAAATCGAGTAACATCCTCCTGATGACTGACGTACACAAACAACCATTGCTCCATTTCGATATCACAACTTTACCATATAGGCAGTGACTTCTTTCCAAACGAATAACTTCCAAAAGTAACTTGATTGGATTTGGCCAAAACCAACAAGGTATTAAAATTGAGATCAGTCGACAATCTCATCACTCCTTACAAAGAGTCCAAAGTCCCTTCGCTCTTTTAGTATAACCAAATCCAACCAGATATGGAGTAGACTGTTTATTCGGAATAGGGAAACTCTTAGATCAATGATCCATCTTCATCAATTTATGTGTCACATCCTTCCCATTTGAATTCTTCAACCTTCAATTCAACATCAGGCAAACGCAAATGCAGCTTGTTGATCATTGCAGCCACTTTCTGAGTGTCGTCCAAAAAGGACCCTTCTCCCAAGAATACTCGTAAATCATATATCTGACCCTTAAATGCCTAAAATCCAAATTCAGGCTTGTTTATGATCAATTATGCATATCCCAATATATCATGCTCAATATCTTTGATAATAGTGTGTTCAGCCTTCTGAGATTGCTTATGAATCACTGCAGCATAGAGACTACCGTCATTATAAGCAAAATATATATAATTCCATTCTCCTTCAATGAAATCATAAGGGATTTAGGTGTTAATAGCAGTAAGTTTCTACTTTTTGTCGTACGAACTAAACTCATAGTTTTTATTTGTGAGATACGAGAACAACACTCTATCTCCAAATTGTGCTTTATCCTCATACTATTTTCTACTCGTAAATCTAAAGATATTATGGAATTGGATTTATTTGGACTCATAGAATTCTGCCTCCCATCTTGTCCAAACTCCGATGGCATACTGATTCACAGCGTTATGAAATTCAGCAGTTGTTGTGTCTTCACTTTGGAACCACAATTCTCTCTGGTTATTTTTGATGTTGTAATAATTAGGCAACTTATCCTGATACGAGGCTTAACTTAAATCAACAATTGCATTGTAACCATATAGGAATTACCACTATTGCTATACACCATCAAGGTTGATGTTGTCAACATCTGTACCAAACAAAATACCCAAATAATTGGTTTCCATATGCCAAATGTTGTTAAGCACTCTAACTTCATCAGATTAAAATTATTTCAATAGAATTTAGACACTCTACTCCATATCATCGTAACTCATATAGACATAATGCCAAATTACAGGGGAATCCATATCAATAGAATTTTCAATCAATTTATGTTCATTAATATTTGATATCTCATTCAAGGTGTAAGTCTAGAATTTGATAAATTACTAGTCACAAACCTAGATGAGCAGTGTTCTATCACCCTAAATTAATTTGTCATTCAGTTTTTCATTTTCATATAAACGTATCAATGTTTAACAAGATGTCTCCTATTCGAACTTACTGAGAGGTGAATAGTTCAATTTGAACCAGCCACAAACTGAATAAGACCCAACATCATGGAAATCATGTTCATCGAATTCATGATCCAATTCTATGATTCCATTTTTCTGTTTATACAAGTATTCTAAGGTTGACTCCTCTGGAATTTGATACTGGGTTATGTAGTCCAACAGTGGAGACTCCAAATATGAGCCACTCTATCCAAATGATCCACTCCCTATCATAATTGCTATTTGCAATATTTGCCCATTAAATCCGACCATGTGATCTTCTGATCCAAAAACTACTTTCACAAAATCAGTCAAAGGATCTTACAATAAATTTTCATTTGAATTGTGCTTTTCATCATTACCATCATATACATAAAATTTAGCAATTTGTAATTTACGTTTATAACCGGCATGTATGAAATACCATCTATTTTCCAATCTCTCTATTTCAATAATACTGTATTCATTTGGGGCATTGTCATTGATATCATAAGTATTAAAACTAAATGAATTGGTTAACCCATAAGCACTTAATAACCTGTCTCTTAATTCAATCTTCCCCTCAGTCAAGTCTACATTAGAAGTCATTCTGAATATCTGGAATTGCTCTGGTTTTCTATATCTCCTTTCAGGGTAAGTGGAACTAAACTTGCACCAAAATGATACAGCATATTCACTCATTGAATCCACTTCATTGAATGTAAAACTCTAGGAGTCTTCTACATTTTCAAGTTCCTTTATAATCTTTGGCATTTATCTGTTTCCTGCAATAAAGGATGATAATTTCAAAAAGTTATCGTCAGTAAAACTTCCTTGTCCCAAAGTCAATTTAACGTGTGATATCATTGTATTTGAATGCTAGTCATTGAAATCTTTCATCAAATAAAGCCATATTTAATCACTTATTGCATGAATGATATTATCTTAATGCTATTAACAAATGTAATCATCTATTTTTAAATAAGTTATCATCTTCTATTCCTTTTTGGAATAACTTTAATATGAAAATGTCCACACGTTCTAATGATATAACTCTATTTTGCATTATTAACTAATTAAGGTGTCTACCTCATCCATGTTTAACAGACTATATGTACTATATTCTACATTCTCTATTTGAGTCGACAAATGGAATACACGATCTCCCAGATATTTTCTATCTGATAAATGTTCATTTTATGTCACTCTATATATAAATTAATCCTAGCTCATCTTAAACCACAGTTGCATTGAATATTGATTAGCACTTCCCTCTATATGAATTGGATTATCTCCACTATAAGTATCAGTCCTGTCTTCCACAATAGTAATTACATTATCAATATAAATTTGTGCTGGTTTTCTATTAAGTTTAGTTATCATCTGTTTAAGTTGTTCCTCGTTAATCAAGGCTCCACTTCCTAAATACAATCTGATTCCAGTTATTAAACCATTAAATTGTATATAATTTTTGGATGCTCTTCCAATCTAAAAATTGAGATGATCTCTAATCAAAGGATGTAAAACATTTTGTTTAATCTATCTAATACCATTATAATCAACTACAAACCCTACTGTCTCACCAATATCTTATTGCTATCTTTAATAAGCATAATAAACAAATATCCATTCACTCTCATGATAAGCTGTGTAATCTATCTATTCTGAACCTTCTAAAGTGATGAATTAATAGTTCCCCACATTCATTACAACACTCAAGAGATGTTCTATCGACTATAAGGATAATCTAGCGATACCCATCAATTTAGGCTTAATGAGACTAATGTTGCTAGCATAATGTTTAAATTGAATCCATAAACCATATCCATATTCATAGAGTCCATCTAATTACAAGTCCTCACTTTACTATAATTTGATCTGCTGTGTTTGACAGTCTAATATTTCTGGATGTTCTTTCATCTATTATGCTTATGTCAAATGATCAGTTCCTGCTAAATATCCAAAATGTACTTTGATACTCAGTTACTCGCTCTCATAACTGCCTTCCCGATATGCTCCAGTACCTACATTCAAAACCCACTATTTCAACGACCCGGTATATTGTAGGAACTCCTTCCTCTCTTATCCCAAGAGAACAGAAAACACAGACATATAATAATGATTGACCTCTTTGATGATGAATGAATTCGAAGTAAACTTATACTCAATGTAGGTGTAAGTCTAATAGTTTTTGTATCCAAAATAGATATATGTCCATTAATCCCAATATTCACCAAAAGCACTCTCCTATTTCAAATACTTATCACATTCAATTTCACAAGTATATGTAACAAAAACGTAGTTGACATCATTCTTTAATATTTGTAAAGTAGCTTAATCATTACTCTCTTCTAGAGTTCTTTGAGTCAATGTTATAATGTGATACTATTCTCCAGATTTCTCTTTGCCATTGAATTTTACCCATCCTGACACACTGTATTCTGTTATACCCTAAAATTACTCGAATTCAAATTTCTCATCTATTGGACTCTATTGAGCAGCCCCTATCAATTGAATTGTTTATTGGCTCATAGGAAGTATATAGGGCAATCCTTAGGTGTCTATTTCTGCCAATTCACTTTCCTGTCTAAATGAATGAGGACCAAATTGGAATGATATTCTTGCAAATTCTCCATTAAACAAAGGAGTATGATGTTTTCCTACGTAGAATTCAATTGCATCTAAGATTAAATCATGTTAGTCATGGAATTCAATCGATTTTAAGTCTTTTCCCAAAGTATTCACTACTCCCAAGGCTCTGTTTTGCAATCTACTATATCCAAAGTATAAATAAACCCAAACGCCTTCCAACTCTTGGTACTCAATATGTTGTATCTCCTCTAATGACTAAAATAAGTAAGATGATTTAGCTAATTGGATTTCCAATAAGACTTATTTGTACTATCTTTTCAAATGAGCAATCGAATGAATTTCTGCTCTCTTTTATAAATATAATGGATATGTGCGTATCCATCTACTCCACATTCCAAAACTATATTCACTCTAGCCATTTACTTTGTCATCATCATACAACTAAGAAAACACTGGTTATATTGAATTTTATCTACTAGGTCGGATATCCTCTTCCTCCGATACTAATTTAGATCTCAAATATATATTCAAAGCTCCTTCATCATCCATCTACATCTAATCACTAAATGATTTTGGCCCAACATTTAATGAAACATAAGCAATCTTCCCATTGAAACTTGAAATCCCGTTATCAGCCCCAACAGTCAAGAATAGTTTGGTGACCTATTTATGTTATACCTCATTGAATTCTAAACTCTATGCGTAACCTGGATATATCAAGTATCCGAAAGCCTTTAAACTCCCTATATCATAGCTAAATTAAGCATAGGTCCACACCAATTAATTTGATTTCAATTGTTGAGTAATCCTGTTCTATTCCTCAATGATGGAGTATGTACTAAAATAAACTTAGCTTTCTGATCCACCTCCGACGATCTAATGAATTTCTAAGGCCCTATCTCCAGTTTTATCACTCTTATCTTTATTGCTTCTTAAATTAAAGATCTGGAATTGGTTCAGTTCTTCAACCAAAATATTGTCAACCCAACGAAACCACCCTTTCACAGAGTATTGAGTTATGATGTAATCATTTTCAAAGGGTTCCATTTCTATTGAATCTTCCTTATTGTTGGCTGAAAAGTCCTTTGTCTCTTCAATCAATTTAATTGTCCACCTTTTCAGTAACTCTTAAGGCATATTACAATGAGTCTAGATGAGGAGGATTACGTCTTCGTTTGTATTTATGAATGCAGGCTCATCGAAATCGAAATAGATATTTGCAAATTGTCCAGGCAGACTCAAATAATCGAATTCAGATCCCCCAAATATCACCTTATAATACTTACTAGGCTTGTGCCTACCATATTGTTCAAATCGCAATATATAATTTGCTCCAAATTTCACCAAAAACCCTACTATCTCCGATTTTTTTTTAGAATAACAAACAAAGTACCAATTCCCATTAATATTCTCTTGTAATTTGACTGGTCTCTCCTTCGATTTGAGATTCTCATCCAAATCGTATGTGGCAAAAACAAACACATTCTTATACAGGAAAACGCTTAATGTTCTGTCCCCATAATAAGTTAAATCTCCATGTTCCTGATTTGTAGTTAATCTACTCAGAAAATAATATTTAAGAGGGTCCTGATTCTCATTCTCAGAAAAACGAACCCAATATCCATAACCATATTCATCACTTGATTCCCAGAGTTTATCCTCCATCTCAAAACTATAAGAGGGTTCTCCATCCTTGGACTCATAATACTTAGTATTCTACACTTATTGCTTGAGCATTTCCTATTGTTTTTTCTGAGGCTTGTAATAGGCAGGCTCTAAAGACAGCTCATCAGAATTACTCATCCTGACTAAATAGGATAAACTACTTACTAAGACTTGCACTAATCAACCCTAAGCCGACGATGAAAAACATAATCAACTTCATTCCGTTTTAAAAAAATAAATATAATAATATAAATTATTTCATACTTTGCAATGAAGAAACTGCTAGTACCTTTAGAATCTTTCTCTGGAATCTATACTATAAGGATTAGTCGCGAGAACCTAATAAATGACACTTAATAGTTACTCTGTACTTATAATTTTGCAACCATTCCTTCTGCTATATCAATTGCATTCTGTATTTCGATAGATTCTCCGGCTGTTCAAAATGTGTTACCCTTGGCGCCTCGTATGGCATTTATATATCATAATGTTGCTGTTGTGAATCCTACTGTAGAGATGGCTCCTCTGAAATCACCTTGATCTAATTGAAGTAGCTTTCGTTATTGTTTGAGATCTGTTACTCTACCATGTCGTCATTGAGTTCCAACTCCCCTATCTTACTATAGAGCATATATAATTATTCAAGAGAATGCAGTAATTCTGGCTGAGGATTAGCGTCATTGATATTCTTCTCCATTTAATCCAAAGTTTTGGACTTCTATTTTAATATTTGTCTCCAATTATTTGATTTTTCAGTATCATCTGAGATTTTCACCTATTGCTCCTTGATTTCCTATTTGAGCTTCTTAATGAGATCCTTCTTCATATTATTCTAATCAAAGGATTGTGCCATCTCTATTTATGACTTCAATTATTCAGAATCAATTTGCAATTTCCTCCTCATCTGCTTGATTTTCTCCTTATCAGTCTTATATAATTACTGTTCTCTATTTAAAGCAACTCTTTCATCCAGTAGAATCAGTTTCCATTTACGCCTACGATTTTATTAAAGACATTAATTACATTTATACTGCATTCTCTTCGATTACTACACTTTGATTCATGGATAGGTTGTTTTGAATATTGATCTCAGTGCCGTAGTTCTTATTTCCTACCTATCTAAAGAGATTGCTCTAAAACTTGGAATTGTCACTGCTTTAATTGGCTGCCAATTACTCTCTTAACTCATTCACACTCTAAATCATATTTTACATCGTCTGTTATTTCTATTGAAACTCCTAATGTTTCCTTATCATCTATTAATATTGTTATTCCAATAACTCTAATTCCTTATCTGCTATCTTGTCATCCTACTTGTATTAATTAACCAAATATTGTAAACGATCCAATTCAAATTTGATGACATCCTTCTATTTCAATTCATTTTACAAATCATACTTTGAAACTACAATGTTCATGCTAGCCAATTTCTCTTCTGCATCAGTCTTCTTTCTTTTAAATTGCTTTATTTCCTCCCTCAATTCATGTGTAAGACTCCTGGTTTAATTGATGTCCATACACAAATCAATCTCCTTTCCATTTCCCAAGACTCTCCCTGTCTTCTTCTCAAAATCCTTCTATATCTTCTCCAATTTCAACCGTTGGGTCTCCTCCAACTTTCTCTTCATCTCCTGATACTTCTCATTAGTTTGTCTCTCTAAATTTGCGAGTTAATTTTAAAGTTGCTAGAATAATTTCTCCTTCTATTAGGTAATCTTCTTAACATTTTCTGACTTTCTTTATTCAATATCTAAATTTCTGTAATCATATATCTGGGACTACAACATTTGAGATTCACTCAATTCGATATTTTACAATTAATCACTAAACACCTATTAGATTTAACTAAACTTTGGATCGAATTGACTCTTCATCTCCTCCTTTATTGATCTCATCATCCTCTAATTCTCTTCTTATAAATCTACTATCTCAAATTTATATTCCCTCTTGACCTTATCAAACTCATTCAGCAATTTCTTTTTAATAGCCTCCTACTCTGTTCTCAATCTTTTGATGTTCTCTTAGTCTACTAATTAGATCTTTTAATAAATCTCTTAAGACAATTCCTTTTTGTACTTGTTTAATAGGTTCTCCACATTCTTCTTCTTCTCCTATATCTGTTTCATCCATTTAGAATCGGAATCTGATAGTTCCTTCTACCTTTGATTGATTCTTTTTACTATATCTTTCTATTGTCCCTGCAATTCTTACTCCAAAGTCCTTAATTTATTCTTGATTGTTTTCTCCTGCTCATATTCATAGTTCTCCAAATTCCGTTCCAATTATTTTTACAATACGTTCTTCTGATTGATAATGTTCTACTCCATGTCCTCCTCGGCCTTTCTTTTGGCCTTCCTCTTCTTCTCTTCCTCACTCTTGGACTACGATTCCTTCTGCCTTTCATATTCTTCCTTCAATTCGAATAACTCGGGATCGGCCTCATTCATCAATATCAATTCCATTTTGTTCAATTTCTATTTGTTTTCCTCCTTCTACTTATTAACATCCTTCTTCTTTTCCTCCTCGTACTCTTGAGCTTGCTTTGCAAATTCCTAATCAACTTGGGATAATAGGTTCTGAGTTGCTGAAGCCTGAATTGGATTCTGCACTACGTAACCCTGATTTTATCGATTCTCGTAATACACGTTGGAATCCACCATAAAGGATTCAGCTTCCTCATTTCCATCCAAATAGTTTGGTTCCCTATATTTTTCAATATCCTTTTTGAACTTGTTGATCCCAGTCGATTTCTGGAATAAAATATTCTAAATACTTTTTTCTTCTGATTTTGAAAGTCAATCTACTTAGCCTCCTCATATTTCTTTGCATATATCATATCGCAAGGATGATCATTGACTATTTCATCCGTCAGTCTGTTCTTGTAGAAAACTTACTCGTTCCCATTAACCTTCTTGGAACAAATCTTCCACTCTTCAGGTAGTTTGGCCTTTAGACCAGCCTTTGCAATATCCAAATATTAATTGTCTTCAGGTAACTTCATCCCCAAATGAATTGCATATTCCCGAATTTCTAAATATCACTTTTAATGAAACCTTGTTTCGTAGGCGAGTAATCATCCATGATCTCCTCCTCCAAAGTTTAAGTTTCATCATTATCATCAAAACTTCTATTTATTTAGTGATTCAAACTGTACATTTAACTTAATTATTATATATAAATATTATATCATTTTAGGAAATTTAAACCAAAACCCACACTCCAATATCTTTTCCATCGCATTCCCCCCAACGCACTCCATTTAAAAGACCTTTTTCAAATACACAGGGTCTAACTACTTATTAAACTTTATAAATTTATAAAATTTTAAATACAATCCTAATTAACCAACATTGCAAATCCATCCTATTAGCATTCTTGATTGTTCTCACAAAATTTTTGTTTTGTTTCTATAAAATCCTTCATCAATCGAATGTGTTTGATTATCAATCCTGAGATTCCAAAATGATCATTTAATATTACCATCCTAAATAGAATTCCCTTCTAAATACAAGTTAAATTGATTATAAAGTAAGAATACATATGAGATTATTTTATTAAATATAAAATTAATTCTGGTATGTTACCCTTCATATCAAGCTTAATTAGAAAAAAGGAATTTTAAGATTTTGCAGGAGTATGTAGAGGTATCTACAGAGTAGTTGATGGAGTCAATTAACCTTAATTAATTAAAGATAATCTAATAGATCAATTCAAATAGGAAAAATAGACCACTCCAATAAATGAAAAAAGAGAAACAATCAAAAAGCCAGAATAAGAATAATAGTAACCAACTCCATAAATCTAAAACAAAATAAATGAGTAAATTAAAGATACCCATTAAAGGAAAGGTAAAGAATAAGATCAATAAAGCAATGATTAGTAATCTTAAATTCCTTCTCCCCCTCCTATCAATAAATAATTTACTGAAAATAAAGTGCCTTAAACAGCAATTGGAAGAGTGTATGAATTTGGAGCTTTAGGAGTTAGTTTGGCAACTAATGCAATGAAAACGATGGTCACTCAATAAAATGTACAAATTAATTGAGAATAATAGGTGTCCTTTAGATAAGCATTGGTAAGTGAGGAGAATGCCTCTCTCTTGGCCAAAGGTCTTTGCAAAATGAGAGGAGCCCCCTTGAAACTGGCTCAAGCTTTAAGTATTCAAGAGGACGAAGTCATTCCAAAACATATTCGATAGGCTTTTGAATAAGCTAGGTAGAATGCTGATATCATGCCGTAAAAGTAACTAGAGAAAGTACAAGAAATATTGTTAAAGAATAGATGCTCAAATAAGAGTTAGGCAGTGATTGGACTAGCAAATTCAAAGAATTCGAACTCAAGCCCTTTGCTGCTGCTTCGATTGGACAAGTACATGAAGCCATTACAACATAAGGAAGACGGGTAGCTGTCAAAATTCAATATCCGGGAGTGAAGGAAGCCATAGATAGTGATTTAAACAATCTGAAAAGACTAATGGAATATACTAACTTGTTTCCTAAGACTATGTTCTTAGATAAATTGATCGCCAATACTAGAAAGGAATTGCATGAGGAATGTGATTATAAAATAGAAGCTGCAAAATAAATTAATTATAGAAAGTTATTTGGAAATCAATCTGAATTTGCCATTCCTGAAGTGCTTAGCGATTTATCAACAACCAGAATCTTGACTGCAGAATACTTATATGGAGACACAATTGATTTTGCAGCTGAAAATTACCCTCAACATTTGAGAAATGAAATAGGGAGAAGAGTGATGAGTCTAACGCTCTAAGAACTATTTAAATTTAGAACCATGCAGACAGATCCAAATCCTTCCAACTTCTACTTTGATAGACACAAAAATAAGTTGATCCTACTTGATTTTGGAGCAGGTAGTTCAATTATTTAGTAATTCTAGTTCATGAATATACTAAACCCTTTATGGATAACTACATCGGAGTCATCTATGCTGCCACCATTTTGGATAGAAAGGAGTGTTTGCAACGATCTGTTGATCTAGGGTTTTTGACTGGTGAAGAAAGCATCAGAATGAAGGAAGCCCATGTAGATTCTATCATATGTGTTGGAGAACCATTTAGACATCAAGGGGAGTTCGATTTTGGAGAACAGTAGATGACCAAAAAGATATATGAACTTATGCCAGTTATGCTTAAGTATCGAATGAGACCTCCACCTCCTGAGATCTATTCATTGCACAGGAAATTGTCAGGAGCATACTTAATGAATATGAGACTAAAAACTAAGGTTAATTGCAGAGACATATTTATGAATCTTTATGAATAATATATAAAACTATAATGAATCAATATAATAAGTTTTTGATAAGATTCACAATCAAGTTTGACTGTTTTGAATAAAATCTTAATTTCAAGTTCTTCTTTACATAAATGCTGAAATTCTATTTGCCCAATCTAATTTATGATATTGAATCCAAAAAAATTGTTTATTTTTCATCCTGCACATATATTTCAAGCTTATCATTACTCAACACAATCTGGCATCTTACTAATTTTTCATTTGAAACTGCCAATTTGCAATTCTTATTTAAATAAACATATTCTGTTTAATTGATTCTTGTTTGTATTGGTGAGTGGATAAAAAAATACGGTAATTTGACTCCATCAGGTTCATTCTTTTTAGATTACAACAACTGCAATAGATTTGGTAAATTCTGAATTAATAATTGGATGGTTGGAATTTTTGTAATTAGAAATGCCAGATAAAAGGATAAGATCTCTGATTTTAATTGATTTGGCTTGAATTTTCTCATCTTAATTTACTATTATGGCAAGAGTAGATTATTGTTCATATTTATCATGTTTGTTTGGATATTAATTTCTAATGCTATTGGATCTATAATCATATTCAAAATAATGAAGGTTGGTTATATCAATGATTCCCATTAGCATTTAGTAGATTGTATTTATTGTTATTACTCTTATCTCAAAAATAAAGGGTCCAATCTTAATAATGAAATTAATAGCTTAATTGAATTAAGGAATTGTTATTGAATATTTAATTTGATGTCTTTTATTTTGAAGAAAATATTATTGATCATTATTAAATTTAAATCATTTGATTTAGACATCTCAATAATTGAGAAGCAATCAGTAATATTAATCACATTAATGTTCTCGAATTGCAGTATAAAGTTCTAAATTAAAATATCCAAATGAGTATCAGAGAAGAATCTCAAATTCAAATCAAAAAATATGTTGATCTCTTATTTATCACACACTTATATATCAATTTTGACATTTGGAATTGAGATCTTAAACTCCTTGCCTATAATCTTTTCTTCATTAATAATTATTTCAATGATATGAATGTTTTAAATTTAAATTTTGTTTACCTTAAGATTATGCTTAGTCATCGTTTCAGAGTCCAACAATTACATCAATTCATAATCTTGATTAGTTACAAAAATTCGATATTTATCCCCCTTCTAAATATTGTATTCCAAACAATTGTCTGAAAATGGATAAATGTGAATTCTGGACTTATTTTTCATCAAAATAAAATTAAATTAGGTCTTATTTTTTAATAGTAAATATTTGATTTGCTATTAATAAATATTACGACAAATGACAAAGCACATTTAATTCTACACTAAAACATTATTTCTGAATATCATAATCATATGATGTCTCTTATTTATCTCTATTGCATATTTCCCCTCTTTTAAAAAGTTTAAATAATACAAGTTTGTAACTTATCCATTAATAATGATTTATTAAGATTAATTGGATGCGTGTTTCCTATTGTTCAATAAATTGGCATAAAACAAATCTAATTATTAATCAAAATTATTGATAAGAGTGTTATTCATATTGACATCAACACTAATTGGCAAATTGATAAATTAAGCATTTCCAATACTGAAATTCCAAGGAAGTAAGTTCGCAATGATAAGGAATGGCTTTATTATCACCTTTTAAAAGTATTATCCCTTTGGATCTTTGATTAATTCAAAAGAAAGAAGAACATTATAAAAATTGTTATCTATCTTCACAAAATTAAATGACAAAACAGTCTTTTATTGGATCACTTCTTTCAAATTAAACTTAATTTCTTATTGATTTTCAGTCACTTAGAATAAATTATTACATTCATACTTAGGACTAATGCGATTGTATTCTACTCTGTCAATTTGGTATGGAAAGCCTTCTTAGAATTACCCTCTATTTAAAAACACTCTACACTCCCAGTTTTAAATGTTAGCAAATAATCGGACTAATTTTCTATGGTTGGTTCAGCAACTGTCTGCAAATCTGTGTTTTGTCTATCCTATTAGGTTAGAATAAACTCGTTGTTGAGTGCCTTAAGAAAAATATCATGTTCTTGTTGATCTATTTCATCAATCAACACGAACTTATTAAAGTACTGCTTAGATAAATGAAATGGATAGGCTTAGGACCAGAATTATAAGGATTCATTAATTTCTAAGCCTAATTAGATCTGATATGTAGGATAATCTTTAGGATCTTGATAAAATTTAACAATATAAATTACCTTAAAGATTGTCATATAGCGATGAGAGCAGAGTAGAATCTTCTGGTTCGAGGGTGAATGATTGTATATTCTTGGTTTGAACACTAATGATCTTAAGAAGAACTTTCTTTTTTGTCTTATTTCTAATCACACTAACAACATCCAATCCACTTAATAAATTGACTGTATTGAGTAAATTTGAGATTGTCAATTAGGACAATTTGATTTCGACAGCATTTTAAATTTAAAGGATGTTTTGAGGATCTTGCTAATTAGGATCAATTATTTTGTTCCATAATAACTTACACTTGATAGTCTTGAAATAGATTAATAATATTTACATTAGTGATTTTACAGCTTTTTTTCTATAAGGGATGAGTAGTCCATATATTAAAGTTGGATTTCAATTCTAAATGATGTGCAGTGTTCTCGATCAATAATATTTACAAATTCAATTATTTTATGTTTAGAGTGATGAAGGATACATAATTATTAATTTTGACACATTGTCCAAAATCAATTGAGCATCTCTCCATTAAGGCTGTAAATTTTATGTTTTTTTTATTCAATTAATCCTGTTGTACTTATTTATTTTAAATGGAATCATTCTACACAAATTTTTCAGTTTCTATAAGCTTTTGCAAAGCTATTAGTTATGCAAATGTATTTTTTTGGATTCTGATTTAGACTTATGAAAGATGAATATTTAATTCGATTTACTTGAAATAGTCGAAAATGGCATTAAATCCATTGAGAGATACCAAAAGATGCTAATTTTGATCAAACAAATGAAACTACAATTGATTGTGTTTCAATTCAATATTCTTAATTTTCTCCTTCTTTTAATACATTCCAATATGAGTTTAACTTTGGAATAGTAGTTAGAATTGTGTAATGCCAGATACATTTAGAGTTAGTTTATTTTTCATAATGTTCATTTTAAAAGTCAGTTTTTTTTAATGGGATTTGATGTGTGTTTGACTACTCTTCTAAGAGGACAATTATTTTTATTGGGGAGGGATGAAACATTAATAACTTTGAATATGATTTAGGATGGCTTATGAATTTTAGAGCAGATGCTGGATATCTACTTCCAAATGTATAAATTCTATTTAAAGAAATAATTTTTGCTCTCTTAATTTCATTCTATCGCTTTAGTTTTGGGCGATTTCCAAAATAATTTGTTACTACATTTAGAGGAAAGCTTACTTTATCAGCATCTTGATTGTGCAATTCTGGCCATATACTAAACTCATTGCTATCTTATTTGGTCAATTAAAGAATCTTGAGTCCATTATATTTGATCTAATGAATATAAGTGACTGTTTTACATGAATTTCCTCGAAACTTAATTTGTATAGCATTTACTACAGGAATGACTTAGCACAAATATTGCACTATTGTATAAATAATGTCAATTGTTAGGATTGAATAAATAGGTTGTTTGAAAATATGGACAAGTGAATTCCCTTGCTTACGGTTGTGATGTCTCTGAATATGAAATTCTCATGGATTGGCTAGATTTTAAATTCATTGAGTTTATTTTGAACCAATTATTCTAACTAAGTGTGTTTGTCCATGGCATCATTTGCCAACAACACAATATCCTTATCTAAGATGATATTGAAGTTGTTGAATTCAACATGACAATAGATAGAATCTTTGGATCTTTCTAGATATGAATTGCATTGATCTAGAGCCAACAATTGCTAATTTGAAATGTCATCATCCTTAAAACGAATCAATTTGATAAAGAATGTCTCCACTTTTAATTCTCTGTGGAATTGATCAACGTCTTCAGGATTTATTCTTAAATTCTCTTGAGATGAAGTGCTGAATTATTGGCATACAACCTATAGTCTATATTGTTGCTTAATCAGCAACTCGACTTGGATATCTTTGATTTCAAAGGAGAGATTGAGTAGCAGTTTTTTTACAAATCGCTTTAGTACTTACTCATCAATTTCTTTGTGTTTTCGAATCTCATCTTGAATAGAGATCTTGCTTTCTGTATTTTATTTTTTTGATAAATCCTAGATCAGATTTTCGATGTCTTCTTATTCATTATATTGTATGATTACATTCAAACCACTTATATGCGTTTTGATGGGCTGAGTAGTTAGGGATGCCCAAGGAATATCTATTTTGAGCATCTCAATGTCAGCTTTGAGTATTGTAAAAGGAATCAATAATTCTTTGAGTAACTTATTCAGAGTTTACAATTTGAGCTAAACCTTTTATAGATTCAAGGCTCCTTAATACAATTACACTTACGAGCCTCCAAATCCCTCAATGTAAAGATTGAGAAATTTAGCCACGAAAACTTTAAATACATAATTCATATAAATCAAAATTATCTAAGTTTTTCATCAAACTTGGAATGTGTAGTGTAAAATGTCTACAACATCCCTTCACTCATTGATTAATGCGCAGACCTCTTGGGTAACAATTTATAGAACTCACTTTGAGTTCTCTATTATTGCACATTGATTCTATCCCTAGGCAGCTTGTAACTAGATTTATGGATATAAAAAATACAGTTATTCTAATGATCCATTGTGTCCTCGATGTTACGACACACGTACAGGTGGAAAGTATCCAGTCTTAGCATTAGCCTTGCCCCATTCCTTCGAGTTGAGTAAGGATTGATTGAAAGTGTCAATAGGATTTCTAATTAAGATGAAAATTACTAACTTAATCTATGGTTCACTTTGCTTAATTGGTTAACTTGGAGTATCAGGCTTATTAGGTTGGACCAACAGATTCTCAAGTAATTTGGCATTCTTTGTCAAAATCTTCTCCGATTGAGTCTCAATTTTCTACAATTAAGGTTTGTTCGGCTAAAACTTATTCATGACAAGATGACTCTCATTGAATTGAACTGTCTTTTCAAGTTTAGTATTTTCTAAGGTCTTTTTTGTTTCAACAGTCTCCTAAGGTATAAATTAAGATTTTGTTTATTATTGAAATGGATTGCCATTGTCAGTCAACAACTTATATTCTGCTCGAGTTAATCGTATTTGTTGCATTTGTTTACTTATGTCATCACCAGGTAAAAAGTTTTATCCTGACAATCTATATTGTAATTACTCAGCAGAATCACTAATCTAATACCTGATTCCTTTCCTTGTATCTCGAATCATAGATCAATTTAACACCATTTGTCATAGAGAAGGTATCATAAGGTAATTGGGCTCCTCTGTCGATTCGAAGTCCTTTATCTCCAGTTGCATCTTTAGCTACGTCCTTTCGATCTATGATATTCTGATATAATTCGTGATTTTACTTTATTAGGTATGTCTGCACTGGCTTTAGGGGGGATGAGCACTGGCTACTAAGTTTAGATAGTCTATTTGCTTCCCTTTTTCGAGTTACTCTATTGAATACTCTATTAATTGGTTGTTTTTGGAAGATCTTTCATCTCTACCTTTAACTTTGTTACTGTGGGTTATAATTTATCGTATTTGACTCCTCTTGAGAGTAATATTTTGCCATCATAATCATAAGTGTATTTATTGGAGGATTATTCTTTTTTCTAAGGTAATAACTAAATTGGTACTTAATTTTGAATTATGTCTTCTTTCATTTTCTGTTCGATTTCAATCTTCTTCTTAATATCATACAATTTCTTCTATCTTAATTTATCAATGTATTCATCTTCATCCTCTGCTACTTAAAATTCTATCAATCTTATTTCTGAATGACTTGATTTTGGTGGTGGAGCAACAATTGGTGTTTTTTTCTTTTCCAAAACTGAAAATCGTAACTTGTTATTTTTTTAGCTATTGTGTTGCGATGGTAATTCATTTTCAACATATTCTTCTTCTTCACCATCAGAAAATGACTAATTCATTTCTTCAATGTTGACTCTGTTTCTCCTCCAACGATCATAATGTATTACATTCTTTAATATGTATGCATATATACAGGTTCTCCATCTTCAGTCATATTACATCCATTGATAGGCAATCCATCCTCATTGTAATAGCTGGCTACAATCAAATCCATTATGGTCATCACTTATGCATTGGAACTTATGGGAATTTGCATTTGTATAAACTACTTAGAGACAATGGAAATACTTGTTCTTCTGCTATTTTTAATGATTGCTTGATGAGATTAGATGCTATTTATTTCGAGATGAGAAATGATTGGGCAAAGATTCCATTGTGTTCAGATGTCATTGATGTGTAAACCTTTTGTTTTAATTTCAGTTACTTGTTCCATGTTGAATTGCGGCACTTGGTCATCGTCTTCGATATCGCAATCCTCTCTTTCAGAAAAGTCATCTCCATTTACACTATTGCTCATTATAATAATTATTATAAATTGAATATATAAATTTCATATTCACCAACCATTAACATAATTGTCTTACGATTGTATCCACTTTTTGATGTTAAGTATTATTAATCTTTGAGCATTAATATTAATATATTAAAATTGAATGTTCAAGAAATCTATAGGATGTAATAATCAATAGCATTTAAAGTTTTTAAGAATTTCGATATTTTTGGGCAAAACATCCAATTGAACTTCAATGGTGATGATTCATATCAAACAGCAATGGGAGGAATCTTTTCGATGACAATAATTGCTGTCATTGCATTCTTCTTCTAACAAAATATCATAGATTTCATGAATAAGAATTATGTGAATCTCAATGTCCAGACTTTGTTTGATGCTAATCCTGATGACATTGTCTTTAACGACGACAATTACATGTTTGCATTGGCCATCGAATAAAAGTAATTTAACACCAACCCTTATTTCAACATAACTCTGAAACAGAGGATCTACACTAGACTCAGCAATGGAACCATAATTAAACAAGATGAATTTATAGATCTGATACCTTGCACAATTGACAGATTTCAAAACATATTTAGTACTTAAAATTTCTCAGATCAATTCAACTCTCTCGGATTGTCAGAATGGCTATGTCCTCAATACAATTATTCAATTCAATTGCAGGGAGGTTATTCAAGTGAAGTATTTTAATTCACCAAAATAACCGTCACTGAATGTTCAAACAATAGTTAAACCAACCAAATCCTAACTTGGAAGCCTTAGTGTGCCAGCATTCAAGACAGAGACAATCATCTATAAAATGACAGATCCTTTCGATTAAAAATGTACTTCTCCCTATTTTATCAATTTAGGTATATGACCAACACCATCATTAACCCATTATAGCCAAGGAACATATCCTAAGTGTTCTTAGATGATGAACTATTTTTCTCCTTCCTCCTGCTCACTGGAACTGAAACCGATGTATTTTACTAAAAGTATAATGTCACCACCAATAACAACATATTCCCCTATATCGAAGACAACCAGGAACAATTATTTAACATCAAATAGCAAGGAGACTTCAGAGTCAGCAATGTATAAAACAGTGGTTCATAATACTCTGCCATTTATATGAGAAGAAGTCCATACACTTATTAAGTCAAGAGAGATTTTCAGGATCTAGCTGATTTACTGTCCTACCTTGGAGGCTTTGCCAACATTGTGGTCATGGTTTTCGGATTCTTGATTACATTCTATAATAAATCCTAATGTAAATTACTCATATATCTATATACATAGTCATGATTGAATTAGCAAATTAAGTGTATGATTTCCCTATTCAAAATGCAAATACTATAGATACTCAGCAAAGAAAGGAAATTAAAAAAACAATAGCCAGAGCCAAGAGCAGGACAATTATTCAAAAACCAAATAATCGGCCTTCTTAATTGTTGTCGCCAAAATATAATCAAAATTAATAATTGATCATGAATGACACCACTAAATAAGATGAACAATTGACGACCAAATAGAATGAGCAGAGGATCTTCTAAGAAGAATAAGAAAAGATCATCTCCTAATTAGGCATAACTGATAGAAGGAGCTATTTGACTTAATAGATTGAAAAGATTCTAAATCGAAGCTGCCCTATATTTTTTAATTGCAGATATATTTTGTATCAACTCTTTTGCTAAAGGTTCTTCTATGATAGAAACAGTATTTTACTATAAAAAGCTATGTATGTATCCTCTATATATTTTAGCAAAAACATAAATAAAGACGTAGATCTTTGTGTTATCATCGATAAGGTCAAAGAAATCAATCTACTTAAGGATCTATTATTGACTGAAGATCAATTAGTGTTATTTGATTTTGCTCCTAAAGAAGTCATCAATTTAGAAGCAGAAAAGCAAGTCACAGTACGGAATATGGCCAGGAATACTCTAAGAAATTTCAACTCAAAGTAAAATTCCATAAGCAGTAAGGACGAATAAAATAAGTCTAATCAAACTATAAGTACATATTACAAGCTCTTCAAGGTGATAGCTTATTTTAAATATAGGCTTATGATCGAATTCACTAATCTTTGCAATAGAACGATAAAATCAATGAAAAATTGATAGGAAAATTGGGACAGGAAGTTAGGGATATTTTCGAGGTCTCTCAGTTTATTCAATGGGAAGGCAACAACAACAAACAAATCAACAGTGAAGCATTAGATGACGAGTTTTAATGTGACTCTGTTAATTCTGATCCTCCTTGCATTACTACTCTAGATCAATTCAAGGTTAATCTGAAATTAAATATTTGATTTAATAATAAATTAATGAAGTCAGTTCATTTTTAGTTGCCTGACCCTCCCTTGCCTTTTCCATTTGGATATTCTTACAACACCCGAGTTGATACGATTCCATATCTCCCAGATTCACTTGCCAACCAAAGAGAATAAACCCAAACATCTAAGAATGATTATACCTTCTAAAATCTTCCCAATGAGTAGGAAATCATCGATAAGAAATAAACAATTGAAGATCCTAAGAGAATTTCTCATGTAAGATACTTACTTGGAGATTCGTCATTAGTGTAAGTAATTAGTGGGGAAAATTAACAAATGAAATCTACTACAGGTTAGAAGATAGATTTTGGGTCTATTCAACCCAACCTGAGGAAATAAATTGAAATTGCAAAAACCATAAGTAATCCCTCTGGAAAGTAATTTTAAGAACTATTAGAAAAAGTATTTAAGATATTTATTTATTTAGTTACTATCAATAATATCTTCATAATAGTTCAAGGGGATAAGCTAGTTGATTTTAGATCCAGAATTTAATGGGATCATTTTTTAAATAAGAGCTCTATCAAATCTAGATATTTTGTATAAAATCTAATTTGAAGAGATAATTAATTGTATATTTAAGCAAGAGGAGAAATTATAATTTTAAGAATTGGTTAGAGAAATGACTAAAGATGCCTACATGTATTGGACGGAACCACTGTATTATGAGGTTCAATAAAGATAAATACCTCAGGCAAAATGGAAATAATTTATTTAAAGTTAAATAACTTTATATAATATGTGATTTCTTATACTATCATTATTATAATTATTAATCTTTTTTTTTAGTTAATACTTTTTTGATTTATTAAGGCTAAACTTATTGTTTGATCTGTGATTAGGGTTGCTATTTGTCATCATTCTCTTCTACCTATTAAGGTTACACTTTTGAGCCATCTTCATCATTTTATTTCTATGATTGTTTTTATTATTCCCCTTGCGATTGCAAATCTTTTTATTAATACAATTAAAATAGCTTTTTGATTTCTTTTTAAGCCTCATCCTCATTCTGCTCAATCAATTCCTCCTTGATTCCTTACAGAGGCTAATTTGTGATTAAGTTGGGTTGTTCTTGGGCGAGTTTTTAAATTAACTCAAACCCTTGAGGAGCCTCTTTCTCCTTTACCATGACTTTGGGTTTTACTTCAACTGGTAATTCAACTAGTTACTTGAATGGATTCTATTCTTTTAATTGATCATTGAATTCAATAGCTCTTGATTTAAAGTCAGGTTTATACACTTTTGTCCATAAATCCCAATATTCCCCTTAATGACATCCTCTCTTAGCAAGGTTCATTCTCCAATCTTCATTGGACAGATTAAAGATTTCTGTAAACTTACAGGTTGAACACGATAATAGGTCATATCTTCCACCAAGATTGGTGAATCCAATGTGCTTTTGATCCCATAAGACTTAAACCATAATCTCTTTTTACTCCAGCAATCCAACTACAGTGCCATAGATTCCAAAGGGATAATTTAAATTCACTACTCTATCTCCAATTTTATGTATTGTGGGGTGTTTGATAAAGAAGGGTGGAAGGAAGGTCTGAGTGGTTTATTACACAGCAAAACCTGGATCTACTTTTTTTGTGGTATTGATGTTGTTATTCAGGATGGGTTTCTTATGGATTTTGATTTAGGCTACTTTTGAGGAGCTGCCCTACAATAAATACTAAGATTCAGGTAATTGCAGAATCCATATGTATATCTTAAGCAGATCGATGTTAGGATCAGTTGAATTAGGAAATAGATCCTTAGCATTGATTGGACAGTTCCTTTGATTCTCATTCAATGAATTTAAATATTACTAGACTCTTGAGCATTGATTTCTGTATTTGCATAGTAATCAGTGACGCATTTTTCAGAGAGCTCTAGATCTAAGAATTTTTGGTACTTTGATGACCCAGTTGCATATTAATCAGCCTAAGGCAATCGAACTAGTTCAGGCACTAATTGATTATTAGTTCTATTGATGATATTCAATCCAATGTCTAATTGGTCAGCAATCTTGGATTCCTTGTCTTCCATATTCACAACAACACTGCCAAGTAAATTCAATAGTGTTTTAACTGAACATTGAAGTTTCTCACTAACAATTTGCAAAGAGTAATAAATGTCAGAGTGAATATAATCATATCCCAATAGAGTTGGATAGGCTGTAATCTGAACAGTTAATTTTTTATCAATTTATTTGATGATTCCTGTGGCTCCATTTTTCTTCTCGTGGAATATCACAACTGATCTATCGATTTGAAAATCTTCGAAATTGGGAACGTTGAATTTAACCTTCTGATCTGGAAATACAAACTCAAAGGGGTACACTAACTCTCTGTATTGCTCTTATGGGTAACTCAATTGATTATTATTATCTCTGAGGTAATGCTTGTATTGTTTGACAATCAAAAATGTCGAGCAATCTAATTTCATACATTTCTCATATTAATTTAAGGTTTTGTTCCTTATTTCTTTATAGATCTTGTTATGATCCTTTTTGCTGTAATCTTTAAGCATCTGAATGGATTAGAGTTTAACTCCATCAAGTAGGTGTAGATGATCAGGTCTCAGAATTGCCATTACCTCACATTACTATTGGATAGGGAATCCACAATGGGCAAAATTCTTATTCTTGATCACATCCTAAATGAATTAATCAAAATCGAATTTAGTCTATTGTAATTCTATCAATAAGAATTAATTCTCAAACTTCTTTATGTCATCTTCGTGTTATTGTATGTTTATCAATTTTGATGATCTTATACTCACCACTTTCAATGAGGGAATTTAGAATGAGTCCTCTTATTACTCAAGAATTTATTATTGTCCATAAGCAATTTAGAATTATTCTTTATCCTCAATGTCAATAAACTATTTCTTACAACATGATTTGAAATTGCTGAAAAGTTTAGGAAGAGTAGACTCGTAGATTTATTATTGGGTTGAATCATATTGATAGAAGATTGAAAGTGCCTATTCATTTCTTGAATCATGTGTATCAGGGATTGAATTATATGCCTACTCAACAAGGTTGCAATCCAAAAAGGGAATTTTTGTAATATGTTGATGTTCGTACATTGTACCGTAGGAATCAGTTTCGAAACTTTCAGGATAATAGTCAATAGGAGTTCTAAGGATGGAGTTCTCTTTGTCTGTTAACAACTTACCATATGGTTCAGGCAATAGCATAGCATTTTCTGGAGTTAGGATACTAGGTAGAAGTTGTTTGAATGGTGGATATGGTTTGTCCTTTGTAAATATAATTGGCTATTCCTGATCTGATAATTGTTGTACTATTTGTGATACAACTCCAACAATGTCTCCGCACAGAGGAGCATAATAATAATGATAGTACCATTCCCATGAAGGAACTCCTTTGAAATAATACTATAGAACAAAGTAAATTCCTTCCATATAATTAATGCACATATCTTCCAGTTTCTAGAGATCTAATTCCTCACCTTGTGTGATTTAACATTTGGCTTTATAGTATAATTTTCTGCCCTCAGTCTGTTCTTGGAGTGAGAAGTATTTCAGAATATTATCAATCAATTCTTTTTCTTTGGTGATCATTTACTTATTCTCATATTCTGGTGTTTAAGTAATTGACCATCTCTTGTTGTCTATCATTAATGCACAATTTTTCAAATCCTTATAATAGTTCAAGAAGATTTAACAATTCTTTGTAATTGATATCTCCTCTTTGAACTATGTAATCATTGGCATTAGTTAGATGTTTTTTGAATAAGTCAACTAGAGGTTCAATGGTTCCTATTCTAATGTCGAAGCAATAGATTCTGGGTAGAAAATCATTGCCAACAAAGAAGCAGAGCAAAATAAAATCATCAATAATGCGATGGATATCATAAGCAACCTTCATTTTATCTTTCAACACTGCGAATTCCAGATCCAAATATTCTCGTACAATAGAGATGTTGATGACTAGAAATTCTGGAATCTTGATGACTCTATTTGCAGCAGCACTAGCTGTTTGTTTGAATTTCAGATCCTCTCTGATGATGAGAACATTCTTCAACTAAGTAAGCAAACCTAACATAATTAAATCTGCGTCTGCCCCATAAATCATATGAACACTGTTGGGATCAAATTGCATATTACGAATGAAACTAAGAAGTTTGTGTTCTCCTTCCCCAGGTACATCGCAGCCAGAGAATATGATTTTCAGATTCTTGAATTTAGGATCTTCAGAATATTTTCTCTCAATGTAAAATTTAATCTATTGATTTCTTTATATTTGAATATGAATACAATTGTGTCATGAATTCAGTACCAGGACTGAATTGATTGTTTTTATAGGTTTCATTCTTTTGAAATAATCCAATTTATTGAAGATGAGCACTTAAATACTTATATCTCTTCTATGATTGAAACCGTCTTTGACGCTATTAATTCATTTTAGCACGTGGTGCAACACCATCAAAAGCCAAAAATAGTAATTGCTGAGGATTAACCAAATTAATGATCATATCCAAGTAGTTTATGATTGAAACCCAAACATCATCGAAATCCCGTTCCCTCAATTGATCCTTGAATAATACACTGGGATCAGTTGCACACTTATAAATGATTTGGTTCATATCTAGATAAAAATAATCCACTCTCTATGCTCGAGTGTGTTCATATAGACATAGAGGGATACCTTCTCATTAACCCATGAATAGAAATTAGGAACACCCATTAATTAAAATATATAAATTTATACACAAACCAAATGTTTAATTCATACTAGTATGAAAAATAATTGCATAATTTCTAAGGCAATGAGAAGTATATAAAAATCTAAATAAATAAATGATATACATCAATCAATTGGCTCAGACTTATAAAAAGTGGCATGCAAATTTCTAATTGAAATGTTTGAATGTCCTATTGATCAATATAATTATCCTAATCAATCACCACTCATAAATGATGATCCCTGTAGAATTTTAGGAGGCTCCCAATCGTATGTAAAGAATTTTCAAATAAGTAAAATGAAATCAAAGAAGCTCTTTGTAAAAATAATGATCTTTTATAATTGTAATCATATGGATTGCTTGTTTAGAATCTTTTTTTGAAGTTAATCTGTATCAATCATACTAAAAACTTTCTTCTTTTGGTTAAATATAGATTATTAATCGAAAATCCATAGATTTATGGTTAATCTTATGGTTTAACTTCATCATAATGTGTTAATAAAATAATATCAACTTTTTTTATGATTAATTACTGATTGATTTCCAATATCTAATACCTATGATGAATCTTGAATAAATAATAATCAAAACCTTCAAGTAACCACATCATTTTTGTCTTGATATCCCTTCGTAACACATTCATTTCTCACTTGTATTTAGATCAATGTTTGTCTGTCTTACTATAATACTTATATTGCAATCAAACAGAGGAATATTAAATAACATTTCTTTACTTAGATTTTATAAAATTGCAAATTCTAACTTAATAGTCAAGTCCAGCCTGATAATCATCCACCCTTACTACCGTTTATATAGTACCATCAAGCATTTTAATTCGAAATATGAGATTAATCTATTTTATTTTTTAAATTTTGAATATTTCCAACTCTTTTTTCCTGGTTACTTTATTGATTTCTTTGAATGTTGATCTAAATCCTATTTTTAAATATGTATTAATATTCAGAACATCCAATTTATACATCTGGTCAATTATCTATTACTCTATTGTATCTTAAATCATAATTCAAAGTTACAAAATCATTAGATTATTTGTGATGCATATTAAGTGAATTAGAAAAAGATTGCTTTTGGATAGTTTGAAGTATTTCATAAATTGAAATATTGCTAAACAGACTGCAGTTAAGGTATAATAAAATTCAAACTATTTTTATTTGAAAAGAAATTGAAAATATTTGATTTATATTCTGAATTACTCATGAAAGTGTTTCTTGAGTAAAAGTAGAGATAAATAGGTACAAATACATAATTCAAATATTTTACCAAAAAGTGAATCGCAATTTTAAGTATTACTATGAATATATTAATGAATGAAGTATGAAGGACAGGTGTATATGAACCCAACGAGTGTTTAAAATAATTAAGATATTTATTTATAATTTACTTCTTCTTAGTGCATGAAATCTTAGAATTCTAAAAAACCTAATCTGAAGATTACACTCAATAAGAAATCGATGGCACAATTGGTGAATTCTGATAAACCTCCAAGTTCGAAATGTTCTTAGAAAACCGCATCTTCGAATGGAAAGGTAAGAAATGTGGTGTATATGAATGATTTAGACCACGACTTCATCCAAGTAGTTGTGTTTCAAATTCCAGGACAACCAGTCAACTGCCAATCCATCAGTAATTTCCGAGGGGGACAAGAAATGTAAGTTATTATAAATAATCATAAGCACTTGAACCAGATCAATCATCACTAATTTAATTGCTGATTCAGGAAAAATTTGGAATTGCAAAAGCAAAACTCAGACAAGGACACCATTATTTCCAGACTCATCACAAACAAAAAACCAGTCATTTTATAAAGAGCAAATACTTCGAATACCCAGAGGACTCCTGAGAAATGCATTACTACGTATTTTATTCAACAAGAACATCTAGAAAAAAGTTGCAGCAAAACACCTATGACAAGAGATCAAATTCACCTCTCGGTTTCACATTTTGTAATGTCGATGAAGAGGATGAAGAAAAAGAAATCCAGAGTCAACCCATGACAAGGTCTCAGAAGAGACTGCCAAAGGAGTTTTAAATTGTACCAAATAAGAGACGGTTTTTCATATGATAGAAGAACTTGAAAATAGAAAGTTATATGATTATATATTGTTTCAAATTGATCTAACATATCATCTACTGTGTATTCATGCCATTTCTTCAAGATAATTGTGTAAAAACAATAAAATAATTTGAGAAATTATTGCTACAGAACTGAACATTAATAATTATTAAATAAAATATTTCGTAATTTAATGATTAATCAGTGATTAATCGATACTATTATTTTTACAAAAATAAAATTGAATTTTAAAAAAGGTTAATTCATTTATTTTGAGCTTAGTCTGAGAATTATTTAAAACCTTTATTATCCAATCAAGTATACAACGAACACGGCAAATCTCTTATCATTAAATTAAAATTGAAATAAAGATGTTAGAATGGAGTATTAAATGAAGTTTTGCAAATTATTATTATTTAAAACCAATTTTATATTATGTAACAAATCTGTGAATCTTGATCTATATTAAGTCATATCCGATGTACTATAAAGAGAGGGAATAATATTGAGTAGTAATTATTGTACAATATTATATTAATTATGTTATCCAATAATAGTATTTGGTTGCATATTAAACAGTTTAAAGTCTTAAATCACACTTTGATAGCGATTATTGTATCGTTATTATAGTGCCAAATGATATTGCTCAGCAATTGTGTTATAATCATAGACTAATTAAAAATTATATATATATATATTTGATTGTTCGTTCTTAATGCTTATTAAACATTATTATTATGGATGTGTTTGTTTTAGTATGATAGTGCATCATCCTTAGTTAATTTGATAAAATAATTAATAAAGAAGTAAATTAATCACTGTGAAATAATTATCTTTTGATAAGCCTGTAAATATTTTCTGAGATGTGACAAGGAGTTATTGCAGATATATATAATCTATGAATAATTTAATAATAATTACATTATATTTTTGAATTAAAAGTTAGATGAACGAGTAGAGTCTTTAGAGATAGTTAGAATCTTGATTACGGCAAATGTTCACAGTGAAATAAGTAAAGTCATCCTTTTAGATCGAATTGCTGGATAATCCTTGAGAATTCTGGAATTCAATGATTGTATTCAGATTAGCCTTTTTCAGAGAATTAAAGTCGTTTTAATTAGCAGGAACATAACCGTAACAGATATGGTTATCTAATTGATAAATTGATCTCTTAATTTGTTCCAATCCTTCACAAAAGACTACTAGGTAATTTTTGTAATAGCCATCTAAATCATTTATTAATCAACTTACTTGTATTAGTAAGGAGAGTCAATTACTAGAGTGGACTTGTATAATGTCTCTTGTTGATGAGATGGAACTAATAACGAATTTCTTTTTCTTCCAGAACATTCACAAGTATTCTTAAATAAGATATATCTTCTTTTTGTTTCATGCTGATTCTTCTCTTGAACATTCCTAAATCGTAAGATGATCCAGAAATGAACATTGCGTACTTTTTAGGGTTATAACACTGAAATAAAATCTTCCTGTGATTCCAGATATCAGTTATAACTAAAAATAACAATTAGAAATACTTGTATTTTCAGTTGTCCTCACTATTCGATTGGGTCCCATTTCCCACTCAATATTTGTAGGTCTATCAAACTCACCGAAGAAGTATTTGTATTCGAAATCCTGTTCCTCTGCAGCAGCCACCCCTATATCCACTGTTAACACCCAATTGTCTCCCTATTAATTAAAGATGATACGTACTTCACACCATTGCATTCTTTTGGCTTACACAGGATTCCAATTGCCTAACTGCTCAAAGTTACCACACATGTACATCGCCTCACCAAAAGCCAAAGGGTATTGTATTTAGAAGGTAAGCATTGCTATAATTTTTTAAATGATAAATCCTGTAGATTTGTGTCATCTAATTTGTAATTCATAATTGTTACTATTTTCAATGCTACGTATCAAAATGATAAAATATTATTTTTTTAATTCTCTGTCCTTCATTTCAACTATCTCGATTAATTAATTTATATCGAGAGACTTCTTCCCAAAATCAAAGCTCATTATATTCATTATATTACAATGACATCCATCACATTAACCTTCTAAATGTGGATCATTCCAATATTTCAAAATTGCTGAGTAAACCTAACAGTGACTTTCAGAATGACACAATTCTCATTAAATGTTTCATTACATTCTGATATCAAGATGCCTATTTCCATTAATTACTGGTTTGAACCTAAAGGTATTCTCCAAAATGTTGTTTTTCTTTGAGGAATTGATTTAAATCAATTTATAAAGTCGATCAACTCAAACATTCCTTAGGATAAACATTTCATAAATTTGTAGTGACAGATATGATTTAGATGATCTCACTCAAAAGAGATGTGAAGTAATATCATTATTCAAGTTATTAAGAAAAAAACCATCAATTATTCGATCAAATTTCTAAGCATACAAGTTACACCAATGGAAAAGGGTTATGTAGGTATCAAATAATGCAAATTAGAGGAGAGCCCAATTTGATTTGACTTTTTCATAAAAAAATCAGATTGATTTGTTAAATTTTATTTGTCTTTGGGTTTGATCAATAAACTGAAAGTATTACAGAGGATTTGATTCTCAATTGAAACTAATAAATGTGAATGCTTAAAGAATCCTCTGTGCACTTGGATTACAAGCAATTAGAAAGTAAGTAATATCAAGACTGGTTATAACATGTGGAAATTGAAATTAATGAATTGTAGAATTACTTTTAGGTAAAGTATTGGAAAATTAATCTATTTCTTTGTTGGAATATAAAATATACTTTTTAGTAATAATACTTTTCAATAATATAATTAATAAAATTATAGCATAATTTTAATGTTAAGATTATGTAATAATTTGAGATGTATTAATTCATCAGTTGATGTTAAGGGAACTAATGGATTAAAGCATATATTAATAATGTGAAAACAATCTAATGAGCTATTGTTGTATTTGATAGAGATGTAAAATGATAATAAAATTTAATGATATTATTATATTTTGGATGAATATCAAACTTTGATGTTTGAGAAATCTACGCTTTAAACGAGGGCTAAGGCTTGTTCACTAACTCCCAATTCTCTGGTGAATTCGTTCTTGGTGTTGGTATAGATGTCGGTTTCTTCAGCATAGGTGTTGTTCTCTAATTCTAATTCAGCAGTGTATTGTTTTTAATCAGCAGCTCTTTAGTCTCTGAATTCAGTCAATGAATCGATTTTCTCTATAGAAGATAAAACAAAAGGGTTTACCATTGGTGGCAGTCAAATCGACAGTTGCTCTGTTAATTTATCTTTAGAATTCACTGTATTCCTCATCTAATTAATTCAAGGTAAGCTTCGTGATCAGCAACGTCTTAAGCTTCTTAGGCTGTCAAATCATTGATTTAATCGACGACTGCATTTCTGAATTCGTTGAGAGCATCAACAATGTTCTTCAATACGTCTTGATTTGAGAAGTTTTGATTGGAAGCCAAATTAATCAAAGCTTTGATCATGGGTGCCATTCTTGATCTTGATCTGATCTTGTTTTCAATGTTCTTGAGTGTATTTTAGAATCTTCTGATTTACAACAATGATGGGTTTGTGAGTGAAGCAAGAAGAGCCAAGGCATCATCAACTGAGGCAGTAGCATCATTTAATTCAGCAACTTATGCTTCGAAGGCTTCGTGTTCTTATTCTCTAACTAAGATTGCTTCATCATAATTCTTTCTGTTGTCCTCTTGATATCCAATGACAGAATCAATCTTGCTTTAGATTTAGGCTCTTCTTGGGTAGAGGAGATTGTCCAATGTGTCTTGTGTGTTATTGACATCTTGATTATTCGAAATACTCAATACCAATTACAGCATCTTGGATGTCTTATTCCAAACCGACTACTAAGGCATTGTGTTCATTTGTTCTCACTTTGAAGTTGAATTCTAAATCTTCCAATTCCTCTTCCAAATCGTTGATGAGCTCTTCAATAGCATCAATCAATTCTTGGACTGGTCCTCCAGCCATTGAGTGCAATTCAACCAAATGAAGTAAGGCTTTTCCATAGGTGCTTTTAGCCAAATCAGCTTACACCTTGGCCATATTTCTCTCTTGGACTCTGGCTGTAAAGGCCACAGCAATGAGGGCAATCAGAATAATTGATTTCATTTATTTAATTATTAATCACATAAAAACGAATTCTTCCAATTATCAACCAAAAATTAATCAAACTCTTCTGCTTTTTATATACTTTCAAATTATTCCAAATTTAGATAACTCCAAAGTTAGATCAATTTTGAAATCCATAACTCAAAATCTAATTTACTCTATATATTCTCCTTCCTTTCCTTAATTCTTAGACCATAAATTTTCCATTCCTGTCTGATTTTTAATTTAATTTTGATTCACCTAAAGATAATCAAAATTATTATTATAATAGATATAAAAATAGATCAGAGATCGATCCTACTATGCACTAAACCTGAGAATACCAGATAAATGGTTTATTTATGATTATAAATATCAAGCAAATTCTCTTGTTTTTTTCAAAAGAACAATTCTAAAGCCTATTTTATCTAATGACTATGTTTGGATTTAGAATTGAAAAGATTTCTCATCTCCTATAACGAATTGAGTAATTTCTTTTAATCCCTTGTAAGCAAATGCTTATGATCGATAACTTACCATTCACTTACATCAGTCTCCTCCTCTATTGTTTATATCATATAATCTGAATCTGAATTGTGACTCATCACCCTCTCGATTTAATCCTCATCAATCAAGAAGGTGACTTCCTCATCCACTGAGTACATGAGCACCTTTCTTTCCGGTGTTCTCACTTACTCAGAATTGAATCTCAACCTGTTATTCTACTTGGGAATCATTGTCTACTCCTAAAATGACAAAGATCTGGGTTTTCCCACCTCCTAAGTCAAATTCAGATGCTAATGGAAACGAGCAATTATTGACACATCTTACTCCATGTTTAAATGATAGCATTTATATAATTCCAAATTCTAATTTTTACCATTGTGTTCAATAACGATTTAAAGTAAGTAGTTTTAATAACACTCTTACTTATTTAAGAAGTTTTAATACAAAGAACTCTTTGTGAACATACAGCAAAGTGACTTTTTTTCAAATGTGCACTAATTGGCACATGGCAGATTTCGGTTGTTTTCACTTTTAAATTACAAAATCCACTATTCTGCTAAAATTTTTCTGTGGCTCAGAGTGTGCTCTAAGTAAATCGATATGCATAAGCTAACTTCATTAGATTTCGAATTTAGGGTCTAGTTCAAAATATGCTGATTGTTAACATCCTAATTCACACTTACTCTTTTATTTAGTATGAGATTCATGTATTCATTGAGAATAAATCTATGGTTTTGCATAGCTTAAATGAGTTAGTCCTTTTTTTAAATTGTTATAATTTATAAATTAGACTTTCTTTTGAAGTCCCATTTCTACTTAGCTTTTCAGTTATTTCCCGATTTATTTTGAGCAACTTAAGGCATAAACGAGTCATAATGAAGACCAATTCTATTTATGGTTATCTTAGCTTTCAGTAGCCGAATGAGTCATGAACTTTAAATTTTATATACTATACTATGTAATTATATTCAATAAGATAAATAAAATTAATATGTAATATGAATTAAAAATAATTAATAATTATAGGTATTATTGTAAAATATATTTAAAAAATGTGAGTTGTGTAAATATAAAAAGAATTCATTTTCTTCTATATAAATGATTAATATTGTTATATGGAGATAATTAAATTATTTTTTTTTAAATTAAATTCCACTCTAGAAATTTTTAATTCTTTAATTTTCAAATTCTAAATAAGCACTAAAGAATACGATAAGTGAATAAAAAGTTGTTTCATATTTTTGATTTTAGAAAAATAGATAACTATGAATGTAATGATTTTTCTATTTCGAGAACTCAATTATGTTATTGTAATTTAACCTTTCTATTGCTACTACATAGGCTTTTTTCTTGCTGTTTATGACAATGAACAGTTTTTTAATTACTGAATTTATTTTCTAAATAGTAAGAGTATGTGTTTCTTATTTATATATTTATTTTAAATATAGAAGATATAAAAATCTTAAAAAAATGAATAGTTATCAATAATAGATGTAAAAAATCATCCAGATTTCATCCATCTCAGTAACTTACATATACCTATACCAATAGCTACCCCAACTACACAACCAATAGCAATACCGATATTGATAGAGCCGATTTTAGCTATAACTGATCGTACACTTATTGATGTGGAAATTACTGCATCTGATGCACTGGCTATGACAGCTTTAGCGGAACCTGATCCAACTTCTAATAAGAATGCTCCACTAGATATTGCAGCAGGTTCTCCACCACTTAAGAGTCCTGTAATTACTAATATGCATGATTTAATGTCAACTCTTTCACACGCTGTAGCAATAATAGGAGTAGCGAATTTAGCAACAGCGGCTCCTCCAATCATTCCTGCAAATGTACAACTCCCAACTATTACAATTTCTCTTCTTTCAACTTTGATAATGCCATATTTTTTAATAAGATCTGAAACTATATCAAAAGGATATTTTAGTATTTTGGTTTCTGGCAACATTCCTAAACAAACAATAAAAAACAAAGCCAATGTTTTGTAACACTTTTGGAAAATTCCTTCGTCACTTTAGATCCAAATAAAATATAAAGAAAAGGGAATTGCTATTAATGTTAAAATTCCGCCAATAATAGGTATAGAATTTATTAGATGAAAAACTGCTATTAGAATAGAATTACCTAACATTTGCATCTTACTTTGATTTTTTCCACATCTAATAGCTTCATAAAGTATTTAATAATATAATTCTGGATTTTTAAAGTTTTCTTGAGTGAATTTCTTTAAATCTTCAGGCCATAACTCTTTTTTGGATAATTTTTTAATATTCTGATAAATTTTTTAGATCAAAAGTTTTATACTGGAGATTAAACTAGGTAATTCTATTTTCTAAATTGCATGCTCATTAATATCATAGAGATATTAATTTATATACTCTTTAACATGATTTACATAATGAATACAACTATTTTTAAGTAAATCATATTTTAATGAATCTTAATTGTTTAATTATCTTAAATCATATAGTTCTTTAACTTTGAACAGTTTTTTGAATTGTTATGATTCATACCTCTCTATTACTGTGTAGCATTGTCTTTCTTAATTTTAAATTATGGAACTAGTGAAACCTTCCTTTAGGTAGTGCAATATCATTGATTCATTCTCTTTTGTAGTCAAAATTATTGCATAATGATGAAAGAAAGCTTCACTAAAAAGTTCTTTGATTTTATTAATAACTTCATATCCATTTTAGTTCACCTTAGAAGACTCAAAAGGTTTTTGTAAAGGTCGACGAACAACTTCAATTGTCGCTACAGTTTAAGAAAGTTATGATCCACTGATTGTTTACACCATATAATAATAATAATTGAGATTAATAGAATTTTGAATTTATACATCTAATATTCTATTACAAATTATTTAGATTAGTTAATTCTATCAGAATTCAATCAAACAAGAAAAATTTATTATTACAATATCAACCATCAAGTAATTCAAGATTTAGACTTATTATAATTACTATGGATAAAAGGAGATAGTTTTATTTTATTTTTGATTATAATTGATTTTACCTAAAGTTAAATATTGAAACTATTAAATACGGGTTAGCCTTTATTAGAAGTTTTATTAAATTGCGATCTGCATGAATGAAAATGTATATTTATTAGTATTTTATAATTCATTTATCGTAATTGCAATTAGTAAGTTTATATTAGGATGTATTTAACTAATTTACAAAAAAATATTTTTTTAGATTCGACACTCTCCTTTACTAAAAAGAAAATACTAAATTCATAATGGAAAAAAGAATAAGACATCAAACCAAAATATTATTTTAAAAACTCTTTGATTTTTGAATTAGATGTAAATCCTATAATGTACCCTTAAACCTTATAAGTAAGTCTATTTCTCTCAAATTAGATAATCAATATATTGCTTCAAATTAATCAATAAATTTTATATATGCCAAATCATAAAAATACATATCTCATTACACTAATAGATGGATAATTAGCAATGATGACAATAATATGGCATTGCTTGTATCATCTGTATCGTCTTCAACTGGGCAGACTGTGCATTTATTATCCAACCAATAATATCCACCATCTGTTAATAATGAACATTAATTTTATGTCAACTCTGTTATATCAGCTCTCTCTTCGCACTTTTAGGAAGTGGTATTCCATTTGCAAAGTGTTTTGGCTCCAAAATATCCATCATTTGCAAGAATACAAGTATTCACTGTTAGATTGGATGCACAAGTATAAGCCTTGCATTCAGAACCTGAAGCATCACATCCAAGATTGGAACAAATTTCTAGAGGAATTCCTGAACAAGTGTTTGGGTCATAACTCTAACATTTTCCTTGTGAATTGAGCCAGCAGAATGAATTCTCATTTTCAAAACTATTTTTGCAATTTTCTGCAGTTTATGAAGCACAAGTTACTGCAGTATATGATTTACATTTATAAACACCATTGGTTTAGGTAGCTTCAGCTGCACAATTACCTCTCTTAAACATACAATCTATTTATGTTGTAGCTGTGTATTTTGAACAATCTCCAGTAGTTTCACAAGTTCCTGCTGGATTGATAGAACATCTAAAGAATGTTTCACATCTTTCAAGAATGATGTTTGAGCAATTCTTTAGCCCACAAGCATTATTGCTCCATGAACAATAAGGCACATTTTCGCATTCAGTCTAACCGCCAAATAATGTACAATCACATCTATTTTTAGTTGAAAGAGCTTGAAAAGCACTTAAGAATATGAAGCAAAGTATAATTTTTTTTGACATTTAAATTAATAATGATTATCCTTAAATAGTTCAAGCTTTAAATTGTTAAATCTATAGATTAAGGCTTAGTATTTTTCAGAATGATAATATAAATTCAAAAATACAAAATCTCATTATTTAAATTTAATATAATAAATATAATTATATATAAGTTTTACCAAATGTTTGTTTATTGCATTTAATAATTATTATCAACAAATTCTATATTACTTATATCATGCTCAAACAACGCATTTAATAAGTTCATAAATCTTATGTTAATTTATATTTCATAAATAAATATATAATTAAGCTTAATTAATTTTTATAAATAAAATGTAATATAATTCTTAATAATAAATTCGATATTAAACCCCAGAGGACTTAATTTATTCATAATTCAATTCAAAAAGAGAAAATGAATCCACAAATTCTTAGAAGTAGACTCAAATAAAAGTAAACGATATTTAATAATAATGAGCATTCAATTGAATTACTAAAAAAAAAATTAATAAATCGTTAATTTCCGAATGATTCATCTCTTCCAAATCAAAATTAATTAGTTTACTAATTATTTCAACTTCAATAAAAAGTACGAAACTCTGAGAAGTAATTCGTCAAAAAAGAGTTGTATTTATAGGAGGAAATATTAAAGGCACAAAAGAATTTTGAAAAAACTATGAATTTAATGAAATTCAAATATTAGATGTAAATAGAAGATCTAAATTCTGAATTGAAAATAAAGGATGAAGAAATATGCAGTCTCAATTTATAATTATAATAAAACAATTTGAATAAGTTAGGCAAAAGATAGTTTTCATCCTAAGAATAACAGAGAAATTACATAATTAATGAATACCCAAATTCGATAAGTTCTAGAAAACATGGGTAATTAAAAATGCCAACAAGATCTCAGAATTCAAGTAGAAAAGAGAGTGCAAATAAATATTAGAAAGAACTATGTAGGATTAGAATATAGACCTCAGAATTCGCTTAAAAAGTAGAAAGTGAGAAAAGTTAAATTCTATCTGATATTGCTATATTAAAAAGTTAGAAACAAATTCTTAAAAGTTACTTGAACTTACATAGCGATCGAACCTAATATAATTCTCCAATAAAATCTATCAATACTGAGATAAATAGACAGAACAGCTCTTCCTTTGGAGTTAAAGAATACTTCTCTCGAAAGTGATGATAGTTGATTAATCTTTGTATGTATGTATTTAATAGCAATGAATTATTCAATCAATATTTTGTGAGAAGTTCCTCCATATATAAGATTTAATCAAAGAGCTACCAATAGCCAATGTTTTCTTCTCCTAATAACTATATGAGTTGTTTCCTTAAGTCTTGAGTAGAGAGTTCTAAAGTGATAAAATTTAAATCATACATTTAGTTTTCATCAATTGCAAAGACTTCTCGACAAGATTATTGCCTAATCCTCCTTCACATCTATGTCTTAATAGTTTAATCCTATCCTATATTCTAGCCACTATGGAATTAATTGGTTTTGTTTCATCTTGATCCACTTCATCATAGTCTCCTTATTCATCATCTTCCAAATCTTCATTCTCCAATTCTTCTTCAACTAATGGAATGACTTGTCCAGCTTTAATTATAGAATAGTATTACTTTCTAATGCTTTGATCTGCATATTTTGGACTTATCTATTTTATTAAAGTGACTGACTGATTTCTTATATTTTCAGAGTCTTATCTTTAAGTTTTGTTTTCATCAAATCAAGCCTTTATTCAACATCCCCTTCTTCTTCATATTCTTCTTCATTTTCAATTTCCTGAATGGCCATAACTCCATCACTGTCTTCCGAATCATCATATTCTTCTTGAACCTTCAAAGAACTATCCTTCGATTAACGATACTATGCCTGTTTCCGTTCCTAGGCTATTTTTCTATTTTAATAACTTTCTTTATAAATTTATTGTCTCTCCTTTTCTTCTTGAATAGTTTTTTCTTCATCTCTTCTCTACTTCTTCTAAATAACTCTTTCCTTAGCACTAATAGTACTATCATCTCTCAGTCTATCTTTTTCAAGGGACAAACTTCTTTCTTTCTATTTTTATCTGATCTCATTTGGTCTCTTATCTCTTTCCAAAGACACTTTTCTCTAATTTACTCTAAGATAATCTGGTCTTTATTGAGTATCTGTTTTTTAAGTATTTTCTGATTTATTGGTTATGTTTTCTGTTGTAGTTTTAGAATTTGAATTAGTTTCAGTTTATTTAGTATTTTGAATAGGCACTTTTTGCTATTTCTTTTGTTCTAGCCTTTTGATTTCCTCTTCTAATTTCTTCTTCTCAACTTATTCCTTTTTCAATTGTTTTAATTTAAGAGCTTCCTGTTCTTAAATTTAAATGAGCATTCTTTATTCAGCTCGTCCTCCCTTCTCTAATTCATTTTTAATGTCTGCAATTGTGGCTCCTTATGCAATTTATTTCTGGTAATGTTAAATCAGAGGTAGAACTCCAATCTACTCAGCCTATTCGTATAATGTATCCACATACATATCATCTAAATCAGCTGATTATGGTTCTAAGGGGATTGATAATACAAATACCACTAAAAACTTCAAGCATGTAATATATAATCCTTAATTTGATGATTGGCTTGTGAACTATTTCCTAGATGGTAGGTCGAGCCTTAGGGTTAGTGTTAAGCATCTTGTTGATGAGATCTCTCAATGCCTTGGAGTAGGTTGGACTTATGGATGAATAGGAACCTTTCAATATTTTCAATGCCAATCCATTCATTGACTGCGCATCAAAGGCGTGTCTCAGATTGCACATTTCATAGAGACAACATCCAAGTGCCCATACATCACTCTTATATGAATATGGTTTATATTTAAATAACTCTGGACTCATATAATAGGGAGTTCCTATGCAAGTGTTAGCCAAATCACGAGTTGAGTCAAGCACTTTCGCAATTCCAAAATCTCCCAATCTAACTCTGCCATTTTTGAGAAATATATTTTGAGTCTTCAAATCTCGATGTAAGATTTTCTGCTCATGCAAATAACACAAGGCCAATGTCATCTATGCAAACCAATCCAAAATTTGAGATTCAGGGAAACTTTTCTTGTTTCGAATCTTTTAATAAATATCTCCACCTTCACAGTGAATCATCACAATATTTAAATATTGTTCTCTATCCAAATATGAATCCTTGTAGGCTACAATGTTCGGATGTCTCAATTTCTATAATAACCTGACTTCATTTTCAGTATTTTCACGATCCTTCTGATTCATGTCTCTGATTTTGATACGCTTTATTACATAAAGACGATCTTCTCTTTTATTCCTAGCCAAGTATACCTAACCAAATGAACCAGAGCCGATAGATTTGACTATTTCATAAAATTCCATTATTTTAAATATTCATAATAATATAGTTAATTAATATGAATATTATTTTAAAATTACAATTACATTAATAATAATACATTTACCAAAGAATCAATTCGAAGCAGTTACGTAAATTTAAGCCCTTAAATATTGAATACTACCAGTGATTACTACTATTATTTATAAGTATTATTGTAAGGGAATTATCTAACTTCAATTTGAAGAATATCAATATAATAATTAATAAAACTATCTGTATCATTTTGTATTTTAAATCAATAAATGAAAAATTGAACTAAATGACAGTTAAATAGATATTATTCGAATATTTTATTGAACTATCCTATCAGCATGAATTAGCACTTATTTGATATTTTTAATAAGTTAGAAGGAATAAAATTCTTGTTGAAGAATTCTTAGAATTTTCCTTGCTATAAGAAAGATCTCAAATATCTGAGTCTTTTATATAATCACTTTTACGAATAAACATTTGTGAGAATAAAAATAATATTTAAATTTGTAAACAAATTCTTCAAACTACTACTTTCTTTTATTTAATTATAGAAATATCAAGAAATTAATAAATTAAAATTATTATTTGATCATCCTAAGAATGAATAATAGATTGTCGATATTATTGTGATTGTCGCTAGGAGTAAAATAGAGAAGTTAATAATGCAATTTAAATCACAAGTTTGTTCTGCTTCAATTTAAGCTATGTAATTTACATATTTAATTACTTTCGTTATTCAACACAGAACTGCTTTATTAAAACTCTTTAGTTGAGATATTTGTGTTACTCGAAGAAGGACTAGGACTGTTTTAGGATAGTCCAATTTAAGCCTTCTTAACAACCTTGTGTTTAGCATGCTAAATTGAACTTATCTATATTGAATTACTTTTTAAGGGACCATTTTTCTCTTAAATTACAGCTTTGCCAATTCTTATCTGGCTTTCTCTTACTGCTATATCTAAGTCGCTTTGTCAACGTAACTCCACTGATTCTATTTCAGCCATTGTCGAATGTCTTCCAAGTTTTACTCTTAAATCCTCTTAAATTCGTTTTGTACTTGTGGATCCAATAAATCTATGCCAAACTATTGAGCATATAATTGTAATTTCTATATATTCAATATAATCTTTACCTTCTTGGGTCTATTAAAATCTAATTGAGAAATTTTCTCTAGTTGTTTCTTGGCTATCAAAGCTTTTTGTAGTTTGTCCTTCAAATCTACTGCTTCTTTCAACTAGCCATTCTGTAAGAAGGTCTTGACCATATCCATTCCTCTTGATTCAATAAATCGCCCTAGCTCTTACACTTCCATGGGTATCGGTTTCTTTGGATCTTATTCATAACTAAGTTCTTAGTCATTGTCTTGATATGCAAACTAGGCCATGAAATCCTAAGGCAAATCTTCTTCCTCCTGGACACTGTATTGAGAAGTGTCCTATTAAACGTACTGTTCTTTGTCGCTGTCATCCTCTTCGAACTTGGATAATTGAGCTTAGACCATATCGTAGACCTTGGCGATGCTTTCATTGAGAGGATCCAATTGCTGAGCAAATTAGAGATCTTTGCAAATCATCTGGCAGTCTATTTAGGTCACTTGCTCAGATAAGAATCGAGACTTATGGGATAAATAGATATGAGTACCTAAGCTCTCAAAATGAAGGCCCCTGCACAGAGTGGATTTAATTATTGCCAATAATCGCACATTTTTGGTGCAGGCTTCTTGTTCATGCAATATGTAATAACATTTACCCCATCAATTCGAATAAATTTTTCCAAAGGTCTTAAAAGCAAACTTAATTAAAAATGCATACCTTTGATTTATTATTATTCAGGGTAATGTCTGCAATTCAAATCTTCAAATTTAGTGTCCTGCCATCGTTTGGGGTTGTTTGGCTTCAGCAAAGACTGACATGCAAATCTCAAATTAATCTATTGCATGTCGATGTTGATCTAGGGTATAATAGTTTTGTTTGATACTTTGATAAAAGAATTTCAATCCCCTTTCAAAAAATAGTTCATAGATTTTCTTTTTCTATAAGAGAGATTGACGTGATAATTGCTTGAAGGCTAGACGTAGCATAATTAGTTTATTAATTAATAAGGGGATCTTAATTTTCTGATAAAGTTTGATATGATTATGAAGGCGATAGGAGAATTAGAAATGTGAAGGGATTTCAACTGATTGATTTCATGCTTGTAGAGATTCCTCGTGTTTTAATTACTAAGTTAAAATAATGAATAATTATTATGAATGATAATGTCAACTAAATTTCGTTAATCGGTGCGATTCTTACTTTGGGTGATTCGTAAAAATGTACCTGGAAGAATTGCATTGTTGAAGTCGTAATGTCCCTCACCTAAATGAGATCCAAATAACGGTCGCAACTGGAGGTTTTGCAAGTAAGTGCACTGATGCAACGATTTCAATACTGTAGAGACATGATCACAAAGGAAGGATTCGAGAAATACAATAAATTTTGTGAATTCTTGTACACCATCTACTGTCGGACGGGAGAGAGAGTGATTAGAAAAGGATAGCAAGGAGTGCGGTTTTACATGATCTTGCAAGGATAGGTTTCATTGGTGAGCTACAAACCTAAGAGTCGCAAAGCCCAGATAATGATGGATCAAGAAAAAGTAAGGTAGTCATGGTTATTAAAAGGAAACGATCCCGAATTATGAGGATGATACTCTATTTAGTGCTTTCAGTTTCAAGGACCTGAATCCAGGGGATCATTTCGGTGATATGTCGTTGTTAGATAATGGACAAGTGTCATGCACAATCATATGTAAGACCTTTTGCTAATTCGTCTGTATGGATAAGCAATAGTTTGTGAAGTTTATAGGGAAATCAGTGCCAGTGTTGTAGAAACTCAAAATACTAGAAGAATAATCGATTTTTAATTCTTGGACCGACGGAGAGTTGAGAGCCTTAAGTTATGAATTCAAGAACAGAACATATCATTAGGAAGAGTTCCTCTATTAGGAAGGCTAAAGGAATGTTCAAGTGTTCTTAATAATGGATGGACAAGTTGAGATGACATCAACTCGAGACAATCAGACATATCATCTTAGCTCTTTGGATGTGGGTGCACTCTTTGGTGATGATGCTGACTATCATACATGCAATGCCAAATGTGTATCAGCCAGAGCAGAAGTACTTGTGATTGGAAGACAAGTGTTAAGTCGGATGTTGGATTGGCATCCAGAGTCCAAATAATTGTATAGACAATAATTATGTATTTCCATTTCTCCTATAGTTTTAGAACAAAAAGCCAATTGGAGGTAGGATAGATTGAATAATCTCATTGAATGTCATGAGGAGAAGACGAAATGCAAGAGAACTCAATCCATCAAAATGCAGTTGTTGGATTTATTGATTAAGCCTAAGTATTAGAAGATTCGTCTCTCTCCATGTGTTAAGAGAGTCACTAATATTCAAGACACTATGGATTTTGAAGAGAAGAAACTTAAACATAAAGAAATCTTGGAAAAATAGAATTTAGTCGTTTCTTAACGCAAAATAGAATTCTTCAAATTAGGTCTGACATTCACTGAAAAGAGAAGGAAAAAGCAGAAGTAATAATAAGAAGAAATGAAACTAAAGAAACAATGTGAGAGTGTTATTATTTCTGAACCTCCCCTCGAGAAACTCAATAGGGCTTCCAGTACAATAATGACTAAAACATCGCAAACCACTTTTAAATTATCTCCTGCCAAGAAGCTTAGAAAAGTGTTCTCAATTGAAGGAACATCCATTAATATTCATTATAAATAATGAATTATCAATATTTCCAATATTAAAAGATTTTGTTATCATCAACGCAATCCATTACTTAATTTAATATTTAGACTCATGAGCAAAAAAATTAAAATTTCTTAACCTCTACCGAAAGTCAATTGGAAAGATACTGATATGGAAGAAGAACTCACCATCAAAATACCTCATGGTGATCTAATCAACAAAATCATAGACCCTAGATCAAGTCCTCAGGAATTCTTTGTTCCATTAGTATATATTGTTTGATCCTAAAGAGATTTCCAGCCTAATAACACATGAAAGATGCAGATGGCTTTTTCATACCCTTGCCTAAGGAAGATCCAAAGAAAATACTATAACAATAGCAACAATTTCAAAATGAAAGATATTAAATTCAATTGCAGGATTTGATATCCATTGATGACTTGGGTCAAGGCTCAAGCGGAAGAGTGATCAAAGCATTACATAGACCCACTAATTTGCTTGTTGCACTTAAAGTATTCATTGTAAATAGTAGACAATCCAAATAGTGAATGATGAAAAATTCACTAAATAAATCAATTTGGAACTGGAAACTTTGGTCAGTTGCAATCATTCGAACATCATCAGATGTTATGGAGCTTTTCTAGAAGGAGCTTAGGTAGCAATCGCTTTAGAATACATGAATTTAGGCACTTTGCAAGATGTAATTAAGAAGTCAGGAAAAATCCCTGAAGGCATGTTAGGACTCATTGCCTATTAACTACTCAAAGGTTTGGACTATTTACATCGAACAAAGAAAATCATCCATAGAGATATCAAGCCTTCAAATTTATTGATAAATAGTTAAGGGGAAGTTAAAATCTCTGATTTTGGTGTAAGCGGCTAATTACTAAACACCTAAGACCAGCGATGTACTTGGGTTGGTACAGTTACTTATATGTCTCCTGAGAGATTTCTGTGTGAGCCCTACTCTTCGAATACAGATGTCTGGTCCTTAGGACTCTCTTTACTTGAATGCGCTTGGGGGGTTTTCCCTTATCCTCATCCTGGAACCAACGATACTACTCACTCCCTTGGGTTTTGGGAAATCAAAGAATACATTGTTTCAAGACCAGCTCCTCCATCACCTCCTGATTTTTCCTAAATTGGAGCTGACTTCATAGCCAGTTGTTTATAAAAAGATCCAAGGTAGAGGAGGAGTGCTGCAGAATTGCTGGTATATCGAATTTATATATATACTAGGAACACCCTTTTATTAAACAATTTGAGGATGTGAGTCTACAATATTTAGAAGGTTGGCTTAACATTAATTAATGATTTAAAATTATAATACATCATTTGAGATGTTTCAAATCTGAA